TGAGATTTGAAGCAAATGCTATATGTCAATGTAATGTAATTCATGTAAACATAAGTAATAAGAAAAAGTGGAATACACTATGGTCATTAGTGCATGCCTACTCTGCACAGGGCACAAGTAAGAGCACAAGGAGCACTGGGTGAGCAGTGAGCAGGTCTGTCTTCACCTCTTTTTGTCATTGTCAGCATAGATACTACCTACCACTTTCATTTTCAAACTATGTGCTATAGAAATGATCATTTCTGTTTGCTAGATAGGAAATCCAATGCTTCAAAAGACTCAACAGTACATTTCAGATTATGAAGCTAGACTTATTAAAGCTATTTTATATACTCTTACTTTTAAATAGAATGCTTTGTTTTACGCTAAATTTACACTTTGGATAAAACTTTGTGTATTTCCTTTATCCTCCACTTACAACAGGTATTTAGACACAGGTATTTAGTTTGATTTTTATCAACATTAAAAATCATCTCATAGAGATCATTCTTCTGCTCCAGTTGGATGGGTCTTAATGAAGTTTCCCAAGATGTTTTTTTTGTCATGTTCTGTGCCAGTACTGGGGCTTGAACTCAGGGCTTGGGCTTTGTCTCTTAGCTTTTTTGCTTAAGGCTAGTGCACCACCACTTGAGGCACAGCTCCACTTCCAGTGTTTTCCTGACTAACTGATATAAGAGGCTCATGGGCTTTCCTATCTGGTCTGGCTTCAAACTGAAATTCTCAGGTCTCAGACTCCTGACTAGCTAGGAAGTAATCCTACTTCCTAGCTACTCCCACCACCATACCCAGAGTATGTTTTTCATTTTCAGTACCATCTTCATCTACAGGATGATTGTCTTATATAACCACCCCCACAGGCAAGGCCTTATGGCAAGCATCTTCCTTGAAGCTATTTTAGCCAGGTTCTATTTCAACAAATTGTTCAGTACAAACAGATTTTACATAGATCTGCTGCTTTAATTTGGCAACTTGGGGAAGAGAGCATGACTTTGAGGGCCAGTAGATTTAAGTTCAAACATCAGCCTCATCTATTTATTAGTTACTCAGTTTTTACAATATTTTGTCTTTATAAGTAACCTGGGATGACAGTATTAAGGAGATAAAGTTCGCAAGGACCAGGAAGTATTGTATAATTATCAAAGCAAGAAATGACATTTTCTGATTCATCAATTCTTGTTGACCTCATTGATGGATGCTTCCCTCTTAACAAAAATGTTCTCCCTTTCCTTTTCCTCCTTCTCTTTTTTTTTTTTTTTTTTGGGCGGGGGGGGGGGTCTGGTCGTGGGGCCTGAACTCTGGGTCTGGGCGCTGTCCCTCAGCTCTTCAGCTCAAGGCTAGCACTCTACCACTTGAGTCACAGAGCCACTTCCAGCTTGCTTTTTTTCTGCTTATGTGGTACCGAGGAATCGAACCCAGGGCCTCATGCATACAAGGCAAGGGCTCTACCACTGAGCCACCTTCCCAGCCCTCTTGTTAAGTTTTATTAAGGATATTTGACGTGAAATCTATCCTCCTAGCACATTTTAGGTGTATAGTATATTATTGTTGACCTTAGCTACAATATACTGAAATCTCTAGATTTCATGTATTTTTTGACTGAAATTTTTTGCCTTTTGGTTATTCACTCCCCTCTTCCTCCTCTTTATCTCCTAGCAACCACTATATCAATGAATTTGAATATCTTATAGTTTTCACATAAGTGGATTCATAGATACTTTTCCTTCTTTTTCTGGCTTATTTCATTTAATATGTCTTCAAGCTTCCTCTAAGCTGTTGCAGGATTTCCTTCTTTTATAAAAGTTGGGTGGTATTACACATGTATACCCAATGTGTGTGTGTGTATATATATATATATATATATATATATATATATATATATATATATATATATTCTCTTTATTTGTTCATCTTTTCATGGATACAGAGATTGTTTCCCTATCTTGACCAATATAGAAACACCAATGAAGGCTTTTGTTTTTTATAATTTTTTAAAATTCCGGACTACCTTTGATTCAGCAATCTTACTTATAGGTATTTATATAAAAGACTCATCTGATAAAATTATCCTAGCCATGTAGAATTCCTAGAATTCCATTATATATATATATACATATATATATATCACATTTTCTTGATCCATTCATCTACTGAGGAACATCTGGGTTGGTTCCATATCTTAATCTTAGCTACGGTAAATAATGCTACAATAAAGTTGTGCTGGTAGCTTTAGTGTGGCCTTGTTTGGGTAAATGTCCAAAAGTGGGATTGCTGGGTCCTAGGGAAGCTCTATGTGGAGCCTTTTCAGGAACCTCCATACTGCTTTGCAAAGTGGTTGAACAAGTTTACACTCCCACCAACAATGCAGTAGGGTTCCTTTCTGCCCTCATCCCCTCTAGCATCTGTTGTTATTAGAGTTCTTGATTATAGCCATTCTAACTGGGTGAGGTAGAATCTCAATGTTGTTTTGATTTGCATTGCTTTATAGCCAGAGAAGTTGAGCATTTCTTCATGTGTCTATTGGCCATGCTTATTTCTTCTTCAAAGAAATCTCTCTTTAAGTCAAAAGCTACGTACATATGACTGTATACGATGATGCTAGGTAAAATGAACCCCAAGATATGGACACAAGATATCTTTCTTTGCTATTGTTTTAATGTACTATGTGATTTTTTTGTTTCTTTGTTATGTTCTTCCCCCTATGATATATCCCCTGTTGTCACTGTACTTGATTTTGGTACCCTGCATTTTGTGTATACATTTGTCTAATTTGAGGAGGAGAAGCGGAATAACAAAATGCTGAAACAAGGACACAGGATGACCCATTTGCAACAATAGACCCACAAGACTTTACAATTTGAGGGTGGGGGAAGGAGTGAGTGAGATGGGGGAGGGAAGGGATAGTGGGAGAGCAACAAAGCAGAGGGTAACAATGCTAGACAAGAAATGTACTCATTATCTTACTCATGCAACGGTAACCCCTCTGTACAGCGTCTTTACAATAAAATAAAAATTAAAAAAGAATTAAATTGAGATATGGAAAAGCCTCCATTCTAATACACTTTTTTAGATTCTTTCCCAGTACCAATGTCAGGAGTAATCACTATGGTTCTTAAAAGCCACTCTCTGTCCCTGCATTTAACATCTGAATGACCTGGGCGCTTCTCCTATTTTCTACAAGTCTTGTTTATGATAATAGCTTTGGATTTTAGTTGTGTATTCTCTGAGAATTTTCTTTATGGAAATTTATTTGATTTTGAAGATTAAGTAATTTCTCGAACTCTCTTTACATACATAGGAACCTTATCTCTAAGTAAAAATAGACCCTTTTACCACTCCTGCTCAGAAGCCAGTCTGTCCTGGAGGGCAATTAAGGGGGAGTTACCTGGCTATGCTCACCCTCATTGTATCAGAGCTACATGATTGAGCCCTGTGCTCACCTTCTCAAACCAGCAGACTTCCTCCACACAGGTCTCCACTGGTCTGTACAGTTTTATCATAAAGGCATTTTTTTGGCTTTCATTTTCATCTGGTTATAATACTCCATCTTCCATAAATGCTCAGTTTGAACTTGGATTCATCACAGAAATTGTGTGAATGCCTTTCTGATTTTGTTTTCTTTCTTTTGTTCTCCTTTCCCTATGTTTTTGTATTAGCATCAATTCATTGTATAAGGGGTTTTATTTTGACATGTCCATATATGCATACAGAATACCTTGAAAAGACTTAATCCCTTCATCAATCTCTAAGTTTTCTTAGTAACTTCACTTAGCACAATTTTCCCATCAGTATAATTTTTAATTTTCAGAGTTTTCTAATGCATGATTTTCTCTCTCCCTCAAAAATCTTTTTTATTTTCTAGAAGAAATGGGATTTTTTTCCTCCTTTGGAAGGCTTTTCATCTATTCTATATTCAAGAACTTGTGTATGCTTATAAAACCAAAAATTGTTTTCATGAGCAGACCACCATCTTTGCATTGATGTGTTTGAGAGCAGTTTAAGGACTTTGTCTGGTCAATAATATTGAATTACTATGAATTTTCAATCATCTCTTAAAGATGGAGCTAATCATATCCTGTTACTTTGAGTCCAAGATCCTCTCTTCTAGAGTTTTCATCTAAATCTCCCTCATTTCTCTTCAAAGAGCATTCAGTAAATATCTCTTACAGACTCACTGATGGTGAAATCCTCAGGCCTTCATGGATCGTGCCAGGAGAATGTTTGTGTTAACTTCACACATAAAGTGAGCTGTGCTAATTCTGAGTAAGGTGCATTTGGAAAAGCTGTGTTGAAAGGGTCTCCCCAGGAGCATTTCCAAATAAAACCATGTGATAACAGGAATAGAGATAAATGGTTATTTTTTTGAAATTCAATCTTATTTTTCTCCTTTTATTTGTTTGTTCTGTGTGCCAAATGAATGAGAATCAAAAGGCAGAATGCCATGTAGCATCTTCACAGTTATTTTTTATGTGTGTCTAGAGAAGGGTTGATTGAATGTCTCTACTCAATGGCCCTTTCATTCAAGTCAAAGTCCAAGACATGTGGCATCTCAATTTTGAGGTACAACTATAGCAGCAGTAAAAAGTTTCAGTGGCAAACAACTACTTGAAAAATCTTGTGATTTACCTATACTGGTGTATATTGTGTATCTGGTGATATATTTTTCACATTAGCTGTTTCCTAGGATTAGCAAACCAGTGCAAATCTCATTTCATCCCTCCCTGGGTGTTTAGTATAGTGCCAAGCAAAGCACAGATTAACATATGCTTGCTCAAGATTAAGGATGATTTAAAAAAAAAAACTCTTCTGATATACAATAAAATAGACTGTGTCCAGTTTGCATATTCCATGGATGGTCTGTTTTTTGTTAGTGCCAGTGGCTAACCATAAACCTCCAGTCCCAGATTTCCAAAGGCTCTGGGTTATACTTAGATATGAAAATAAAATGCCAGACACCAGTGCATACTGTCTTACAGTGTCCCGAATCTGTCCTGCTCATGCAGTGTTGCCTATAACTGCTCCATGATGAAGAAGAGGAGAGCAGAAGAACAGGCTCTGGGTGTACCAGTCAACAAGAGGAAATCCCTGCTGATGAAGCCTCGGCACTACAGCCCAGACACAGACTGCAAAGGAGACAGAGACGACAGGACTGAGAATGACAGCCTCTTGGAAACAGGAGATCACTCTGCCTCAGGTACAAGGAGGAGTGACCCAAGCTTTATCTTTTCTGGCACTGTAGAATAGATGGACACAATCTTAACTTATGAAGAGCCTGTGGTTGGTGTGGTTGTCCAAGTATATTTATTTCATTCAGAATTTATTTATGGAGGACCCCCTTTTTATCAGTTAACTGTTCGAGGTCTATAGATAGAGAACAGAAAGTCTTTGTCTTGAGTTCATTTTTAACTAGAATTCATTTTGTGTTGTGTAATGGTCCTGGGTTTTGAACTCAGGACCTGGGCACTGTTCCTGAACGTTTTTGCTCAAGGTTGGCTTTATACCACTTAAGTCACACCTCCACTTCCAGCTTTTTTGCTGATTAATTGGACATAAGAGTCTCACAGACTTTTCTCCCAGGCTGTCTTTAAACTATGATCTTCATACCTTGGCCTCTTGAGTAGCTAGGATTACAAACATGAGCCACCAGCACTGGCCAGAGTTCATTTTTTAAAACACAGAACTAGGTTTGTCTCCTTTAGAAGACAGTAAACGATACCACACTTTAAAGTTTAAAAGTTAATCAGGTGGATATTAATTTCTTGGAATAATCCTTCAAGTTATAGGTCATATTTTAAATGATTACATTCTATATAATTATTAATGATTATGATATACGTATGTGTATATACGTGTGTATATTTCTATATATGCCTAAAACATTTATATTTTCATTAGTTGGTCAACATATGTAATATCATTTTGCCCCAAGTGAAATATAATAACAACATAAACCAATGCAAATGATTTTGACCTTAATATTTTCCATATATTTTAATAAATATCTATAGCAATGAGCTATAGAGGTGGCCTAAAGTTATTATCTTAGAGGTTTCTTCAGTAGGAAAATGACACGGAAAATCTATCACTGTGCCTATTATTTCTAAAATAAAGGATTTAAAGTACCTTAAGATAAATATTACAATTTATTAATTCAGTTCTTCACTTGCTCATCAAACTGCCTTTATACACTAACAGAAATGTATTTATTATTTTTAAACTTTAGAATTTGTTCCTTTCTAGTTTGTAGTTACTGCCATTTATTCCTGTGAGTGACGAACCTCTAGGAGTTGGAATATCACTTGTTGCTTTGTTCATGAGGCTAAAGTTGAAGAATAACCAAAAAACTCAAAAAATGCCAAAAAAGTATCTCATGCTTGACTCACTAGAAAATTAAATTAGGTGGAAATGTGTTCTATTAAATATAGACACCATTTTTTTTTCTGAATATGACTTTTTAGGAATCAAAATGCCCTTTATGATTTGATATTTGAAAAGAAGGTATCACAAACAGAAGGTACCAATAATGTTAAGTCTACGTACTTCTTATAAATAGGATTATAGGAATAACCAGGAAATTAATTTAAAATATATAAAAGCATATTGACTCTGCAAACCCAAGTCTCAAATTAGACTCATTGTATCTCAAATAATTTTGGCTTAAATGTAGTTAGAGGTTCTGTGATTAAAACAATGTAGTATGCTGATTGGTTCATGTTTAAGTAATGTCTCAAGCATTTCTGTATTTAGCATGTGGCTTAAACGTCACAGCTTATCTGTTATTTTGATCAGCTTTGACATGTTTTAGTTTCCTGAGCTGGTCAATTTTACTTTGATCATGGAAATCATGGGTTAAATCTAGTCTTAAAGAAAGTTATTGAATCATTGTGGATAGTTATATATAATTTATCTTGCTATGTTACTTAGTCAAATACTTAAGAAAATGGGCATATATTTGCCAATACCTTTAGAAAGTCCTTAGGTCAAATACTATATGTGGCTTTCAGACTTTGCACCTTCTATTATGCAATCATTGATAGTATTAGCTACAAGAATATATGTTTAAAGTTATTAAGTTACGCATTCAACATTGATGGAGATTTAGTTGAATGTTTACAGTGGTTATTTTATCTTTAATATTACCACTGATGATAAGGAATATACTGAATTAACAGTGATTATGGTTATTTTCAGCACTTTATATATTTCAGAAACATGAATAATATCATTTAACACTGGAATCATGGCTCAGTGGTAGAGCATGTGCCTAGCAAGAACAAGGTCCCAAGTACCACCACATGTATATATGTGTATGCATATACATATATATAATTCAATATAAATATATTAGAATTAATATATTGTAATATTTTATCATAGTATGTATATACATATACATATATATATTAGTCCAAACTACAGTGCTAAGAGATATGTCTCATTGGTCTTAGTTTTATAGATAGGATTATTGAGGACCAAAGTGATACAATGCTTAATGTAACAGAGCTTGTAGGTATTGAGAGGAAGATGATTAGGAAATAGAAAGGAAAATTAGTTATTATGTCCAAACTAACTGTGCTCTATCTATACTTTATATTTCTCCTGCAAGTCTATCTTATAAAGTACAGCTAGGGCTGGGTTTTGACAAAGTCAATTTCCAGAAATGACCAAAGCACAGATACTTCTCTCAAATGATCAACAGAGGAAAGATTGTAAGTTATCTTGAATCCTCTGAAGAGTTTTACCTCTAACCTCTAAAGTAAAGATTGTTGAGCTAGTGCCCAACCCAGCAGAAGTCCATTTCATCAAGCCATTAATTTACACCAGGGACCTCACAGGACTTTACCTTGTCTGGTTGAGACTAATTGTGTCTTTAAGTGGGGAGTTCAAATGATGGCACAAACTGCACCCAATACCCTCCTCTGACTACTTTTCAAAGAGATGCAGATAGACACCACAGAGTATAGAAGAGAACAGGACAAACCACACAAAAATTAATTCTCTCACTGCAAAGACAAGCTGGCAAAGCACTACCAGTACACAAGACACACACAGGCTGTCCCTGTGCAAATGGAAACATGCGAAAGTCCCCACAGGTGGACTCACCCAAATCAGTGCGCCCAGTCCTCAGCAGCACAGCCATGTGCTCAGGATTCAGGGAAATCACTAGTCATAGGGTGTGGCTAGCTTGTGACAGGCTAGGATGTTGAAATGTAGAATTGAAGCCAAATGGGTTGGGATCAGCCCTTCCTTGTGTATCTGTGTGGTTTTGAGCAAGCCCTTAACTCCTTGGGCCACAATATTCCTTCTGGAAAATAGACTAGAAAGGATCTTTTTGTATTGTTGTGAAATAAAAGGATGTAACACCAACGACTGTAGTTTATTGTCTTAGGAAGAACAGTAGCACATCCAGTCATTGGGTCTCTAGATCTTCCTCATTTTGAAGATGAAGTCCAGGACTCAGAACACTAAGGGCCTGACCAAGGTTACACAGGCGGACAGTTGTGGGCCCGCAGCATGTCCTAGTGTCTGGACCTCAGACTGTGGAGACCTGTACACTGAGCAGTTCTCAAAGACAGTTGCTGACTAAGGCCATAGGAGGCACAGATATACAGATTGGATTGCTAGAACTTTTCTCCAATGAATCTGGTTCTTCTAAGTGAAATATGGGATGGCCTTATTTATGTTAACAATCCCTCGCTATTATTGTATTTAAAAATAGTACTTGGAGAGAGGAAAGGAGAGAGCCATCAATTGCTGACTTCCTTTGGGGTTTCTCTGCAGGCATGCTCTCAGGGCAATAGTGTTGTCCTGCAGTACATATGTTGGATAGGTATAAATAGCAGTGCTAGCATCAGAACTCAAGTCTAGATCCCTCTGACTCTTCAGGCCTTAGCTATTTCAGGAGTAAAGGCATAAAGCTTATCCTCATGGTACCAAGAAAAATAAAAACAGGTAGCCCCTTGCAGAGATTGGAGAAATCAGAACATCATCACAGATCTGTCAGGTTCAAAAGCTAGAATTTTTCCTTCTCCCCATGGTAAGGGCCAGAGAGGGGTTTGGGAACACAACAAAGTCGATTTGTAGTTTGCAGAACATCCCTAGAAACTGGCACGTGTGACACACGTAGGCACCTCTGTCTGCAGGGCTCCTCTTTTTCTGAAGAATAATTAATAAATATTTTCTTTTAGCATATAACAAACAGTTGAACCAAACAATTATGTAAACTGGAAATGACCCAAAATGCAAGCAGTTGGCAGCCACACAGTGAAGTGCATTGTCGTGCACGTGTGCGAGTTTGTCACTCCCGCCTCTCTGGTGATCTGCACTTAATAGGAATATTTTAAACTATGTAGCTAAGCAACAGAGGTAATTGTTGCTTTCTAGAGCTTTTGTTAGCACTCTAACACAGCCCAAATATGCATAATTAGGTATAATGTCTATAAATCATTATTGTACACATGTGGGTAGTTAAGTGGAGTGAGAGAATAGTTCAATGAATTGAGCATATTCACTGAAAATGCTTTTTATTTGTTTTCTGTAGTTCATAATACTTTAAAATTATCATAACCCTTTACACTTTCTCTTAATAGCTAACCGTGATATTGAGAAAAACTTCATTTGCATTTTAGACTATGTTTAATATATTATTTAAACCTGCAGTTCCTCTGATATGAATTCAGAAGAGGATAGGCCCATCCTATCAAATATTGTGTGCTTGTTTATCCAGCCTCTTTTCTAGGAACTGAAATGTTAAATTTTTCAGTTTACGTTGAATAGATCCCAACAAAAGACTGCACCCTATAATCAGCATTATTTACAGGGGCTGGTGTTGTGACTGAATTCTTCCCTGCGTCCAAAAATGCTTTTAGTTACTATGGCAATATTTACTTGATCCTGCCAGTCCAGTGTTGATTTAGGGAGATAATTACCAGAAAGGAAGATGATGGAGATGTATTTTTGAGTGTCCTTGTCAGAGACAATGTTTATAAAAAATTAAATGAGACAAAAAAAGGCACATTGTCTTCAGCATAGACACCCTCTCCTGCAACCTCGAACTGAAGGCTGTGCTTTTCTTCCTTCTAAAGGTGTTTATTAACACAGAATGTACTTCACTTAGTGTCTTTAACTATCTTCAAAGGGGTTTATTATTTTGTGTTTCCCATCCCCCACCTGCCTTTGAGACACAGAAATGGTCCTTCTTTTTGTTTGGGTTTTGTTTGTTTGGGTTTGGTCTGATTTGAATCAGTCCTAGTGGATGTTGAAGGAGCATTGTTGGGACATTGGGTACCTTTCATAGCCTGGTGTGTGCTAAGCAATACTTCATATGCCTGGGCCACAGCTGATGTCAACAAGGAATCCACACCCTGAGTTGATAGGTTTTGTTGCCAGACTTGGACAAGCTTACTCTATGTGTGTATATACAACCTGTCACTGTGAATGAGAAAGTGACACAGTAAACTGCCCCGACATGACTACCATCTCACAGTCTTTCCTGTGTAGACTGGTACTTGGAGCCTCCTCTCAGTCATTGGGTACCTTGTTCAGGACCCAAGAGAGCCCTATATTTAACTCATAACCAAGTCATATTCAACATCTTCCAACCATCACCACCTCCCGGCTTCTTCCCTTTTTATGTAAACGCTCACAAATAGCAAACCAGAAAGTATGTTACTACTTAAGATTCTCTCTGATCATGCTAACTATTCCATCTATATTTCCTCTCAATATGGAATTGTAGTATGACAATTGCAAAAGTAAACAAGAAGTCTTGGGAGCTTCAGAATTCCTTTAGTTATCACCTCTATGTGGACATATTTAGTATCTTAGCATTTCATAAAATCTAAGAATATGTCTGGGAAACTCCAGAGTAGAGAACATAAACCGAATAAGCTATAAAAATATATTGCCATGCTAACAGAAAGCTAATGAATGTTTTTTGTACAATGAATAATTCTGTGTATTCAGCTGCCTGCTGGCTGGCTGAGCTGGGAAATGTAAGAAGTCCAGTAGCAATTGTGCCACATTCGGAGCTCTATCTTTGTTAAGTATGGACCTCAACCTAGCTCTTAATATGATGAAAATTATAGTAACTAATTTCCACTTGCTTGCTTTTTGTTTGTTTGTTTGCCTTACTTGAGGATTGAACTCAGAGTCTCACAATTGTTGGGAAAGCACTCTATCACTTGAGCTGTACCTTCATTCTCTTACTTTTTAATTTTGTTTTTCAGATAGTCTTATGCTAACTTTCCCTCTGCTACAGTCTTCCTGATTTCTACATCCCAAACAGCCAGGATTATACCTGTGCACCACCATGTCTGGCATACTAGCTCATTTATTTAAAGATAGTTTTGAGACTACTAAGTTCTCTCATTCTATTTTAAGAGCCTATACATTTTCCACTTGTGTTTATAAAATTTAATATAGCTCACACATTATATATTATGTATACATATGTGCGTATATCTGTGCTTATTATACATATATGTGTACATATATGTGTGTGCGCATATATGTATCCTTAGAATATTGAGGTTTGGGGATTGTTTTTCTTTTGGAAGGAAGGAGGTTTGTTTGGTATTGAGACAGGCTCTTGCTAAGCAATGTAATGGGCTCAGAGCTTGCTATATAGTCCAGGCTGACCTCAGGATCCTCCTGCCTCTGCCTCCTAAATTCTGGGATTACAGGCATGGGCCTGAAAATACTTTTAATCCTTGCTTTTCAATATCAATTTTGTTTTCCTATAGAAGGAATCCTAATAAAACCTGCGGATGAGAACCTTAATTCTACTGCTCCAGAAAATGACTCCCTGAAGGAAGATCCATATGTTTGTTATCAAGAGCTCATGGTCAAGTCTTTAATGCACTTGGGGAAAATTGAAAAGAATGTGTCTGTACAGACTATCAGTGAAAACTTAAATGACAGTGGCATCCAATCTTTAAAAGCAGAGAATGATGAAGCAGATGAGTGCTTTATGATTCATTCAGATGATGGAAGAGATAAACTCAACTGTTCCCAGACACCATTCTGTTCCTCCGATGACAGTGAAAGTAACTCTGAAAGTGCAGAGAATGGATGGGACAGCGGCTCTAGCCTGTCAGAAGATGCCAGACCTCACAGCGGCCCAAAATACATGTTAGTGGATAATAAAAAAGACCTACTGGAAGCTCCTGAAATAAAAACTGAAGGTGACGAATTTATCCCTTGTGAGAATAGGTGTGATTCTGACGCAGACAAGAGAGACCTACAGAATGCTCATGTGGAGCCCTTGGACAGCAAAGCCCACTCGTCCTTCCCTGAGATTGAGGAAGAAGATGGTGAGAGCCTAGTCACCACAACTGAAGAACCTCATGACCTGGAAAAGGCCAAGGGGAACCTAAGTTTGCTGGAACAGGCAATTGCTCTGCAAGCCGAGCAAGGCTGTGTTTTCCATAACACCTACAAAGAGCTGGACAAGTTTCTCCTGGACCACCTAGCAGGAGAAAGGAGGCAAACCAAAGTTATTGACATGGGTGGAAGACAAACCTTTAACAACAAACGTAAGATACATTTTTAAATTCATTTCAAAAATAAAATTGCATTAGGGCTTGGGGAGAGTTAGATTTAATTATTCCTTCCAGGGAGCTTTTTGACAAACTAATGTAATTTAAGAATTAATTTATAGGGGCTGGGAAGTTGGCTCAGTAGTAGAGCGCTTGCCTTGCAATGCATGAGGCCCTAGGTTTGATTCCTCAGCACCACATAAGCAAAAAGAAAAAAGCCGGAAGTGACGGTGTGGCTCAAGTGGTAGAGTGCTAGCCTTGAGCTGAAGAGCTGAGGGACAGTGCCCAGGCCCAGAGTTCAGGCCCTACGTCCGGACCCCCCCCCCCAAAAAAAAAAGAAGAAGAAGAATTAATTTATAGTGGACACCAATGGCTCAGACCTCATAATCCCAGCTGTTCAGGAGACTGAAATCAGAGGATTGCAGTTTGAAATCAGCCCAGTCAGGAAAGTCCTTGAGACTTTTGTCTCTAATCACCAAAATAGCTGGAAGTGGAACTCTGGCTGCAATGGTAGAACACCAACCTTGAGCAAAAATCTAACGGACAGTGTCCAGGCCCTGAGTTCAAGTCCAAGCACCATACAAAAAAAAGAGGGAAAAAGAATAAATTCATAATTATGAAATAAGTCATTTTGATTTCCCCCCTACTCTGTGTTATTATCAGGTCCAGCTGGGTCAGCTTTGCAGGGTCTTCACACATAAGGAAAATATTCATTGGATCTATTTCCTTTAATTGAACTGCTTTGTAAAAGTACATTACACCTTTAAAAGCCACTTTACCAGATATTATTAGAAGTGTGATGGTACTTACTGGGCTTCAAATCATTTTATTAACCAAGTTTATTCTAGAAATGTAAATTCTCTTTCCACCCTTGTTCTAGAATCATATAGCTGCTTTTGAGGTTCAAAATGATGCCAAACCACTTATGAGCCAGGCAGGATTCTCTGATCCTTGTTGGGATAAAACTGTCTTTATAACCATATTCTTTTTTTGTCTTTTGTGTACATGGTGTGTGTGTGTGTGTGTGTGTGTGTGTGTGCGTGTGTGTGTGTGTGTGTGTGTGTGTGTGTGTGTGTGTGTCTGTACATGCACGCGCACGCAAGCACCAGTCCTGAAGCTTGATCTCAAAGCCTGGGCACTGTCCTTTAGCTTTTGTGTTCAAGGCTCAAGGTTCGTGCTCTACCACTTACGCCACAGCTCTATTTCTAGCTTTTTTGCTGGTTAATTGGAGATAAGAGTCTCATGGAGTTTTCAGGCATCAAACTGTGATCCTCGGATCTCAGCCTTGAGAGTAGCTAGGATTATAGGCCACTAACTCCCAGATCACCAGTGGGATTTAAAATTTCACTTTATGCAAGCCTGAAGATAAGCCCCCAGTGTTGCAGTAAGTTGGTAGCACTATTGGTACTAAGCATGTCCAGATTTGGAGTATGAGTATAGATAGTGTCATCTTGTAGTTTGTTGCCTAATCTATGACATTTGTCCAGTCAGAAATGTGAACAATGACACAGTTTATCAGGTATGAATGAGGACAGTCACAGGCAAGCTCAGATGTATCGTCACAGTGTTTAAGGTCAGCCTTATTGTGTATACCTCTACAAAGAGAAGAAAAGAAGAGCCAGGCTTGAGAGTTACCTCCAGCCCTCTCTCTGGCTTCTTATCATGCCAACAGGTTCTGCCCTCCAGAGCATTTCATCTGAATCTTTGTTTTGCTCAGCTCAGGAGAGACTCACAAACAAAAGTGCATGGTGGACTGTCAGTGGGCTGCACCTGGTCAGGTGCCAGGTTGTGTTATCTCCAACACCCTCTCTTCTTCCCACAGATACACTGTGGCAAGGAGGAGAAATGCTCCACGCCAAACCTTTTCAATGTGTTTTAGAAATGTGGTCTCACCTGGACAAGCTCCAGGAGAAGAAGGGCATCAAAACCCTTGCTCCTCGCTTCTCTATGAACAGCACTCCACTGTGTGGTGGAGTCAGCCCCTTAGTTCACTTCACATTTGAAGGATTTTGACCAAAAATCTACAGATTTTTACATGCCTAAAGCAACTTAAAATTTGTCACTGTATTTGATTAAACAAAACAGATATACACAAAGCCACAGAACACCATACATACTTAATATGCCTCTTTCTGTCGTGCAAAATAGAGTTATCTCAACATCAGTTATCTTACTTAAGTCCTGTCTTAACTGCTCACTGTTTATTTGGGTCTCCCTGTTCGGTATCCTGGCCCTTTCCTGGACTGCTACTGCTGACTGTCAGTTGAACAGTCTTGGCTCCTCCCCCTTATGCTGAAACCATGCCCCATATAATTGCATTACACACAGCCGGCTGTGTCCCATCTGCCCTGGACTGTATGTAATCCAACACCTGGGGTGACATGGTGTCATAAAGGCATGTCTACTCTCACAGCATAGTGCCCCCAGAGATGTCCATCATATTCCACAACAGAGTCCTGGCCTTGGGTGCCTGCTTGGAGCAGAAGATCATGTAGCACAACATCCTGGCAGCAGGAAGGACCCTGTCCCCTGACCAAACAGGGCAAGTAGTTTTGTGGGCAAGATTGCATAGATTATTTATGTTTACTCTCTGCCTCAGAGATGCTCAGTATTCCTGTTGCTTTGAATTCTGAGTCCCACAGCTTGGCTGAGTCCACCGTGTTCTCCGAGGGCTCACATGTTCCTTCTATTGTCCTGCTAAAATCTGTGAATGCAAGGGACACAATTCTCCTTCACTAGTTTCATCCCTACATGAGACAGGGACAGTTTGTAGTATAAGGCAGCCTTTCTGTTTGAGCTAACATCTCAATCACTAATATACACATTTTAACTAAGGCCCAATTTAGTTTGGGCCTAACTTCATTAGTGTACTGTTTTGTACTCATTTATTTATGTTAGATATTTATATAAATAACCCTTTATTGTCTAGGTGCTAGTGGCTCATATCTGTACTCCTAGCTACTCAAGAGGATGGGATCTGAGGATCGCAGTTCTAAGCCAGCACAGGCAGAAAAGTCTCTGTGAGACTCTTATCTCCAATAAACCACTCAAAAACCAGAAGTGGTGCTCAAGTGGTAGAGTGCTAGCCTTGAGCAAAAAGAGGCTCAGGAGCAGCACCCAGACCCTGAGTTCAAGCCCTACTGACAAAAATAAATAAAGACAACCTTTTATCTAACTCTCAGTACTGTGCATGTCAGAAATTAAAACTCCCCCAGTTGTCATTCGCCCTTCCCTCTCCAGGCTGCTTTGTCCTGTGACTCTCACTTCCTCCAGGTTTCAGGCTCTCCAGAAGGTTGGGAAGACAGCTGCAACTGCTCTACAGTTCCATCTTCTATCAGTTCCCCATAAAGAACATTTCCTTTTCAAGACTACTTCCCTTTGCCTCAATTTCTGCAGTCAGTCACATCAACAGTGTCATCACTGTAATCACTGCGCAGTGATACTGACAGCCCATTAGGCTTTCAAGAACTTGGAACTTAGCAGGCATTGGTTAGGCAGGCTAAAGCCATCCTGACTTCTGTCAGCTGCTTTGCAAGAAACAAGCTCTGCTAGACCATCCCCACCCCAGGCCACCTGCTGCGAGGGACCAGCCTGCAGGACAAAGTCAAGGAGGCCTTTCTCAGATAAATTCTTTGTTTTGTCATCTTCAATCTGGCCTTCTCTAGACTCTTTGAATAGTAGGAGGTGATTTGAGTTTACACAAATTCATTTTTCTTTCTCACTTTTCTTCTTCTTTCATTCTTCTTTTTTCTTTGTCAGAGTCTGTTTAACCTCTAGTCCAGGGTGATTTTTCATAATGAGGCTTTAACTACACAATACATGGCATAGCAACTTAAAACCACCTCTATTTTAACAGACCCTTGCCTTGTGTCAGCCTTTGCTTAACAAACTGAGAAAATTAAAAACATGTTTAATGCTTCCTCAGGTGTTAGTTGAGGGTCTTTTTCAAGGCAATGTGAGAAGAATGTTGATGATGGCAAAAATGAATAAAGTGAAAATGTCACTCTGCAAGGCCACTCTACTGAATGGACAGGATGGAAAAATAACCAAATGAATTTCACAATTTTTCTATAGATTCACCGAGGCCTGAAAAGAGAGAGACCAAGTGCCCCATCCCTGGGTGCGATGGCACAGGGCATGTGACGGGGCTCTACCCCCACCACCGCAGCCTTTCAGGGTGCCCCCATAAAGTGCGGGTTCCCCTGGAAAGTAAGTACTACTTATCCCCCAGAGACAGAGGTGACTTTTACATGAACCGCAGTATCACAACATTATCTGCATCCTTAGAATTTCAATTTGAAATTAAGAATGGAAACAAGAGTTTTCCCTCTGTACACTGAGCAATGTACACCTAGTTATGCATTTTTAAGCAACAGTTTATAATCAAGTGCCGGCGGCTCATGCTTATTCTCGTAGCTACTCAGGAGGCTGAGATCTGAGGATCACAATTCCAAACTAACTGGCAGGAAAGTCTGGGAGACTCATCTCCAGTTAACCACCATAACACTGGAAGTACAACTGTGGCTCAAGTAGTAGATCAAAAATGTAGACCAAGTAGTGAGCAAAAATGCTTAGAGACAGTACCCAGGCCCTGAGTTCAATCCCCAGGACCAGCACACACACACACACACACACACACACACACACACACACACACACACACACACACACACACACACACACACACAATGTAGTGTATTAAGAGAAAATCTGAAGGACAGTAAGGCTGGTAGGAGGCAATTGCCATTGAAAACAGAGCTTATTTTCCATTGTTCCTTGAGGAGGGATCTTGTCATACTCGAGTGGTCTCATGAAGAATCCTCAAAGTCAGTTAGGATCAGGTGCAGGAGGAGCTGTGAGCAAAAGCCTTAAGTGTAGCTTCTGTGTGGAGTACATGTGAGGCAAGCTGGAGCAGTCTGGTTTAGGGAGCTCTAGTTACCAGGTACCTGGCCCTGGATGATTAGGGCAGGAACCAAATCAGGCAGTCGGGGTGTGGGCTCCAGAGTGGTTGACTAATACTTTAAGAATGTGTTCAGGGGGGAAATTATGTGATTTGGCAAACTCTGAAAAGGGCTGATCCCCCGACTCCAAGGTCAGCAAAATCCCAGATACCAAAGCTTCAGAGTAGATAATAAGATACAGTTATACTCTGTGTGTCAGTATAGTCTTTTCCCAGCCTGAGGCATGGCTGTCCTAAGCTCAGAGTTAGTCACAGCTGCAGTGTACTACAGAGAAGGCACTATTGTACCCCTGGTTGCCCTCGCTGTGGCAACACATGCTTCCTGGTGCTGTCTCAGTACATCCAGTCACATCTGAGGGCCCCAAGCAAAAGCAACCCACTCCCAAATCCCAGCCTTAGCGTGAGCTGGGCCTAAGAGGTAAAGGGAGGTTCTCCCACCTTCTAAGCTGCAAAGGACTGATAGGCTTCAGCCTTTTTGCATCCATTTATTGAGATACTCTTGGGCCATTCAATCTGGCAGAGATGGGAGAATTACAACAACACCTTTCTCAGTGTCAAGACTGGCTAGAGATCTAGAGTCCCCAGCTCAGCCCTACCCTGCATGCCGACTTAGCATTTCTTCCCACTGTGTTTCTGATGATACCCAGCTACAATCTTGCCAGTGGCTGCTTGGCAGCAGAGGGTGGATAAACACACAAAATGAAAATAAATTACAGAAAATTAAAAAACACTACAGGCAGAACCTCAGATATCAGGGAAAAGATGACATGACCTATATGACAAATAGTTTTCTCCATCCATTCTTCCCCCAAGGAAAAACCTAGATGTGACAGGAAGGATGAAGAACTTTCCAGTTTAAGTAAGACAGCTAGGGTTAGGACCTCAATAAAAATCAGGAAGGTTCCTACATTGAATATAGGCAGAATTATCCCAAGTTTAGGGTTCTATATAATATGACAGTCATAGCAATTAAAATATATGCAAGCCCAATAAATTTAGTTTCTGAAGTTCTCTGATGAATTTGTTTTTCAGTTTGAATATTATTGGAGAGAGTCTGGTGGGTTATTGAACTAAAGTTACTTGAATGTGGAACTGAGAAATGAATGTTGATATGTAATGTGTTGGTGGGAAATTATTCTCCCCTTTAATGTGATTTTTGTGCTTAGTTCTTGCCATGCATGAAAACGTGCTCAAGTGTCCCACCCCAGGATGCACAGGAAGGGGGCATGTGAACAGTAACCGCAACACACACAGGAGGTAATTCTGACAATTTACTGATCATTTTACATTTTAAAATGTGAGAAAGACTTTCTACCGTGGGCTATTTGTTATGAAAGTTACTGTCTGTTATTCCCACTTCAAATAAATTAGAAATATTCTAAACCAGGTCACATTTTTTCATAGAAAATCACCCATGATTTTCTGTCGTGTCTTAGAAATATTTATATTAGCAGTCAGTTACAATAATGAATCAATTATCTTTGAAGATGCTAGCATTCAATGTTCATATGGTCAGAGAAAATAGGATATGTTCTCTTCTGTTCTGGGATCTTACCAGTGCAGTTTGACATTGGAAGGAATTGCTTATGGATTATCTTGGAGCTCTTTCAGTAGGCATTAAAAAGGTATTGAAAGGCTTTCAGTATTTAGTTGATTTGACTGAAAATCAGACAGGGGAACATGAGGTATGGCTCCAGGGTTGAAACACACCAACCTTGAACAAAACTGCCAAGAAAGAGCAGAAGACCCTGAGCTCAAGCCTCAGTACCAGCACCAAGAAAAACTCCAAAACAGCTAGACATCATTTTACTGAAAACTCAACCAGAATAAGGAATAGATGTGTACAGAGGTATATGTGTGTGTATAAATATACATATATATATACATATATATATTCTACTGTTTTTTAGTGAGCATGCTGATTTTAAGTGTATTTTGTGTGTAGATTATATGTTTATGAGGTGCAATTTGTTATAAAAAAAACTTTAAATTCCATACTTTCAAGTTAAAACTAAGATATAAAATTGAGTCCCTAAAAGCTTGCTAAAAATTCTCAGGTAAAACTGGGAGCTACCATGCTACCCTTTGTAATTGAACACACTGTATTCAGAATGAACGTATTTTACTTTGAATATTAAGAATTTCAGAATCCTTTTGTTAGGTCTCTCTTATACAATATTTTGATTTTTAAAAAATGAAATCTTTCACCTCTGAGATGAGGCTGCGGAACAAGTATTGATGTTGTAGTCTGCAAAAACCTTTGGGGGTGTGACTGAGCTACTGATATGACTTAAAATGTGCTGAGTTGGTTAGGAGGCCTGTGCCAGAGCAAATCACATGATCACTCAATTTCACATTCTCCTATTTTTCTTCTTTGAAACAGTCTTTCTGGCTGTCCAATTGCGGCAGCTGAAAAACTGGCAATGTCCCAGGATAAAAGTCATCTTGATTCTTCCCAAACTGGGCAGTGTCCTGACCAGGTGGCCCACAGGTATGAACTCCCAGAAAAATCTTTTTTTTTTCCATTTATTGAATGTATGTATTAGGTTCTAGGTTGAGAAAAGCTTCATGTACATTAGTTAAATCTTTGTTTTTAAATTTTATTGTATTTTTTTGTGAACATACTGTACAGAGTGGTTACAATTACATGGGCAGGATAATGCGTACATTTCTTACCAAGCATTGCAGCCTCCTCCTTTGTTTACCCTTCACATCCCTTCCCAGCCTCCCTCCCCCACTCCCCCCACCCAATCCCCCCCCCCCCCCGCACCAACGTTGTATAGCTCGTTTTCAACATGACAACTTGTACTTCTCATTGTTGCAATAGGTCCACCTGTATCCTTAAACGACTTGTTTTTCCCCATCTCCTCCACAAGTTATACTGACATCAAATATAGTGAAAGCAGGGGTTATACTGTGGGGGAGGGACATACAAAGCAACAAAGAGATAATCTTATAAATGCATTAGAAACAAATGCATGGAAGAAAAAAACATTAGAATACATATCTAAGGGTTCATTTTCCTAACATCACATTATCTGACCTTTTCCGCTTGACTCATACATATACTAGATATTGCAAATAAGGGAAACCATGGGACCTATGTTTCTTTGGGCCTGGCTTACTTCATGAACCTACAGACCTATAGCCATCTAATCTTTGATAAGGGAGCTAAAACAATAGAATGGAAGAAAGACAGCCTCTTCAGTAAATGGTGCTGGCAAAATTGGTTAACTACTTGTAGAAAACTAAAGCTAGATCCTTATATATCACCCTGCACCAGAATCAACTCCAAATGGATCAAAGACCTCGGAGTCAAAGCAGACACTCTGAAAACATTACAGGATGCAATAGGAGAAACCCTAGGTCTCCTTGGCTCAGGCTGAAATTTTCTGAATAGAGACCCAGAAGCACAACAAATCAAAGAAAGGTTGGACAAATGGGATTGCATGAAGTTGCAGAGCTTCTGCAGGGCAAATGACATAGCTAGCAAGATCAATAGAAAACCCACAGATTGGGAGAAGATCTTCACTAGCCATACAACGGACAAGGGTCTCATATCTAAAATATACTTGGAACTCAAAAAATTAAATCCCCCAACAACAAATCCTCAAAGAAACAACTGCTCAATAAATAAGTGGGCTAAAGACTTAAAGAGAAACTTCCCAGAAAAATCTTAATGCTCTATCCCTACCAGAATCCTATCCAACATGACCTCTGATCCCTTGGGTAGCATTTTACTATGGTCCTACTGTCATTTTTGAAAAAACGAGTGTAGAGAATGATGCCATGACTCCAGTGAGCTATGAAACCTAGGCGTTTCACTTGAAGTTTATTCTTTGTAAAAGTAATAGGATACAAATGAACCTAAAAGGAATAAAGTGTACAATAAGGTACATTAATCAAACTTCAGAGACACAAATATAATACATTCCACAGTCAGGTGAGCTTCCCTATATTAGTGATTTCACCTTTCCTACCTGGAGAAAATAGCATCATACAAAAAAAAAATACCATCATGAGCCATCCACCTATTCAGTCCCATAGTAGCCAAATGTCTTCCATTCATATATAAGCTCCCAAGCTGTTTAGTAGTTTGGAGGGTCTTCTGCCTAAATAACATGATTTGCATGTTGATGTTTAATGTAATGGTATATATTTACAACAGTCATATTTGTAGGAAAAGTGATTTTCAGGATTAAGAAAGGTGATTGGATAACTTGTTAAAGAGTCACTGAAAAATAAAACAGCTTTAGGCATGACAGTACTTCCCCAATATGCCTTCCCTTATTGTCAAGTGAAGCTCATGAATTATTGGATAAGTGCCTATAAGAAATCTTAGAATGGGAGAGTTTTTCCCTTAGTGGATTATTTGCAAGTACAAAAATAGCATTGTTTCATTTTGCTCACTTCTTATAAGATAAATGTTGTTTTAGGTTGGAACATTTTTACAACTTTTTTTTTCCGGTCGTGGGGCCTGAACTCTGGGCCTGGGCGCTGTCTCTCAGCTCTTCAGCTCAAGGCTAGCACTCTACCACTTGAACCACAGGACCACTTCTGGCTTTTTTCTTTTTGCTTATGTGGTGCTGAGGAATCAAACCCAGGGCCTCATGCATGCAAGGCAAGCGCTCTACCACTGAGCCACCTTCCCAGCCCTATTTTTACAACTTTAAGACTATAAAATTTTAGATAAACAGATAGATAAATAAATAGATATGACAGATAATGATCCAATAGTCTAAAACAGTTTTACCTATTCCCAAAGACTTCATTGGTATTTGGGCATTCTGATGGGCACCATCTGTTGGAAAATAATTGGAAGAATTCTTTGATAATTGTTCAATTCTAAAAGGTATACTTGTTTATATTCTCTTATCATTGGACCAGAGGTGGGGGGAAAAACATTTCCCCCCTTTGATTAAAACTGGTGATTCACAATTATGGTGCCCTGTTTGATGCAATTACAGTAGTTCTACAGGAATATTTAATGCACAGTAAATTAACATTGGAATGACTATATTGAGAAATATCACTGATGTTAGAATATAGTGACTTGAATCAGATTTAGATGGTTACAGTTTAATAGATAAAATATTGAAAGGCTAGTTAAAACTTACTCAGCAAAAAATCATTTAGACTGAGAATGAGGGAAAAAAAGGCAGAAAAGTCTAAGAAGAAAATCCTAATTCAGTAGTGAGTATTCTGGTACCTGTACTACCTCTACTAGGCATCAGACAGGATGGTGACTAGTCATGGCTAATCTGATCAACTTCCAAAAATCAGAATGTGCACATCTTGTCAGTGTCTTAACTGATATTGATAGTTATGTGGCACTTTTCTCTGTGGAGCTCAAAATGCAAACAAACGTCAAATTTTTCTCCTTCTTGACCACTGCATGAGGTAAAGATTAGATTGCCTCTTTCTACCTTATTTTGATAAGGGCAGGGACACAGTATGCAGCAGCTCCATGACAGTATGGTAACCCTAAGCAGAGCCAAAGCATCTCTTCATCTCTCCCAGCTCAGGAGCATCTCTACTTGTGCTGTGATCACACCTTTGATATTGTATAGTAACTGAGGGTATCTACAGGCATAGCACTTCTAACTACTGTAAATTCAGACACTAATACATGTGTCAACAGTTTAATTGCATTTCTTTTAACTCTTTCTTGTCTCTCTCCAGGACAAACTTGATGAAGCAAATTGAACTCAATTTCCGATCCCAAGCCATCACCTCTCCCAGAGCTACCATGTCGAAAGAACAAGAGAAATTTGGAAAAGTTCCATTTGATTATGCCAGCTTTGATGCCCAAGTTTTTGGTAAACGTCCTCTCATCCAATCTGGACAAGGTCGAAAAACACCACCATATCCTGAATGTAAGCTATGAATTCTAATTTTAATTTTTACTTCCTTCTAAAATGCTTCTTATATATGTTGAGGAGCAGGGAAGAAATGGACTGAAATGCTTAATAAACTACCTACAGTTCACAGGAGAGAACACATATTGTGCAGTGAAAGCAAATAAGCTGATCAAGGTTATTGATTTTTAACCTGAAGCTACACTGGATATGGTCAATAGTTAAGGGATTAATTGTTCTACACAAACAATGTCATTGTTGAATCTAGGTGCAGTACAGTAATTCTAAAGAAATGTTCAGTTTGCATTTATCTAGGATTTGCATTTAGCTAATATTAATATATTGGAAATTATTATTGTTATTATTATTAAACATTACTTTTTATTCATGTTGAAATGATGAAAAACTAATAAATGTAAAAAAATGTTTAAATTGAAAAATCTTCTCCAGGCTGTAGGTGGGGAAACAAAGGTACACATTTCAGATGAAACTCAATTCAGGAATCAAGATTTTACTTTTTTTGGGGGTGGGGGAAGTCCAGTCGTGGGGCCTGAACTCTGAGCCTGGGCGCTGTCCCTCAGTTCTTCAGCTCAAGGCTAGTGCTCTACCACTTGAGCCACAGCACCACTTCTGGCTTTTTGTCTTTTTGCTTATGTGGTGCTGAGGAATCAAACCCAGGGCCTCATGCATGCAAGGCAAGCGCTCTACCACTGAGCCACCTTCCCAGCCCCAATTTTACTTTTTTTAAAAGTGGTTTTGGCCACGTTTACCACAAATGTAAGAAATAATATAGTATCATTTACAATGACTAATACTCCTTAGTTCTAATGGATCCATAAAAAAGACTATAACTGAAAGAAGGTCTAACATGTCATAGTTTTTGCTGATACATTTCTTTAAGAATCCCAGTTCTCAAGTATTGCAATGTAAAAGCAAGCAGGAGATGTAGGGGCAAACACAGGAAGTGAATCCTACACTAGGATGACTTGCCTTCCTTAAGAAACAAGCTAAAATTATGCACTTGGAGTCCTCCATGGACCAGCCTCACAGACTAGTAGCCTTCCTTACACCTTGTACTGGTTGGAGATTAAGTATTTACTTGGAGTACTATTTGCCTCCATTGTGTTAGTTGATCTATACATGCAGAAAACTTGAAGATTACATAAACTCAACAGTAAATCTGGGCTGTAGCTCAGGTTTAGAGACTTGCTTAACTGTAAGGCCCTTAATCCCACCCGGTACCAAAAAAATCCAACCATATCTAAAAAGAGTTTACACATAAGTGATAAGTAAGTTATACTTCAGAAGAAATCTATCCTTTTTGTGCCCCAAATAGGTCTTAACCAAGTAACAACTGTTAGATTCAGGAAACACACAAAGTTTTTTAAATCTATCTTATTTTGTATAGATGCATAATTTTATTATATGTAGACATTATATACATACATATATTAATATTTGTTTAATTCAGTTGAAACTAGTAGGATCATTATATTCATATGGTAAATATACTGATTGTAAAACTGCAAAGCATTCGACAACAGTTTATGTTGAGATTGTGGAAATAATATCTGCTAGTACTTTAAATTTTGTTTTATGAAAAATAATCAAGTAATTAAAATAAGCAATACTTAATGCAAAACAAATAGCTAAACACTAGATTTTGAACATTTCTTCCCGTGACCTTGAGTGATGTTTACCAACATTCTACTGAGGAGAAGTATGGATCTCTATCCCTCAGTGAAGCCTGTATCCATGACAAATGTGAAGTGGAAAGTCAGCCTTTCAGTTCACCTTGAGCACATTTCCTTCCTGTCCATTGCTTATCTCTCTCTCCTTGGTATGCAAAATGCATCTCATTAAAGACTCCTCCATCTACTTAGTTCTATTTGGATGAAAAACAAATTCTAATGATTTCAGTGTAGAACCAACCTATATATCAGATAATAAAAATACAATTTTTTTGTCTTCACAACAACTGTTATTGTGAAAACAACTGTTGTGTTATTTCTGTTCTGTTATTGCAAACACACAGTTTGCCCTACACATACACACATACCCTAAACTCTCTATAGTCCCTGGTGGGTTTTGACCATGTGTTTTTTAATCCACAATTTTTATACTAACACTGCCAGTGCACCTGTCCCTGTAACATTAGTTCTGGGAGTTTTGTCATAAGAAGGGTAAATGCAAAAAAAAAAAAAATATTAAGAGAATAGGCATTCTTTCTTAGCAATCATAGCATTTGATCTGTGAGCCTCTGAAAACCCATCTGAATAACCTTCATTTAACATAGCAATGATAATGGCTGGAGCTTTAATTTATTCTTCACATATTTTAATGCAAGAAGTTATATCTTTAAAAAAGAAATCTATTTAATGACTAAAACCATATACATAAAATTGCTAATCAAATCTCTCTTCAACAGCAAAGCATTTTTCAAATCCAGTGAAATTTTCTAATCGACTGCCTAGTGCAGGCGCCCACACACAGAGCCCAAGCCGTGCCAGCTCTTATAGCTACGGTCAATGCAGTGAAGACACCCACATAGCAGCAGCTGCTGCCATCCTGAACCTTTCCACCCGCTGCAGGGAAGCCGCAGACATCCTCTCCAACAAACCACAGAGTCTGCATGCCAAGGTAGGCCTGTCCAAGAGCCCAGAGGGTGGGCCAGCGACTGAACCACAGAATAAACTGCCTTTCATGTTCCTACCCACATTCACTACCATTCAGTCCCCCAACCCTGAAGCCAGCTTGTCCCTGTCTCAGGGACAGAGGAACCCAGGCAAGGAAGAGCTTGGTGGGCTGACTGAAAGCAGCCATGCATGTCTTGGTCCTTGGTGCTCCTTGAAGGACTGCTGAAATTTAGGGTAAGACTGAGCTATAGAAACTGGTTGAAGTGCATTTACAGGTTTCTAAGGTATTTCTTATCATGGGGAAGTTGGTGAACAGAAAAGGAGAATTGCTGTTAAAATGTATCACCGTGGAAGTTTTCAGTATCTAAAAATCAAAAATAAGCCGGGCACTGATGGCTCATGTCTATAATCCTAGCAGCTTAGGAGGCTGAGATCTGAGGATCGTGGTTCGAAGACAGCCCAGGCAGGAAAGTCCATGAGACTCTTATGTCCAGTTAACCCCCATAAAACCGGAAGTGACACTGTGGATCAAAGTAGTAGAGTGCTAGCCTTGAATGATAAAACTCAGGGACAGCACCCAGGCCCTAAGTTCAAGCCCCATTACTGACAACATAATACTAATCAATTAGTAAATATAAAAGATGACAAGAAATATTAATTAGCTAGCACTGGTGGTTCATGCCTGTAATCCTACTCAGGAGGCTGAGATTTGAAGATCACAGTTCAAAGCTAGCCTTGAGTGAAAAAGCTAAGGGACAGCACCCAAGCTCTGAGTTCAAGCCCTAGTACAGCACACACACATACACACACACACATGCACACATGCACACGCACGCACACACAAGAGCGGGAAAAGAGGGTGGAGGAGAAGCGGGAAGGAGGAAGGGAAGGAAAGAGGAAAGAAAGGAAAGGAAAGGAAGGAAAGGGAAAGGGAAAGAAAAGGAGTCAAATTAAATGGTGCTGGTAAAAATCTGCAAAACTGACACAAGAACATTTGCTACTGCTCATGCTGTTGTCATGTGCCATGATAATCTAGTACTCTGTGTTCTCAGAGGACACAAAGTGAAACTGATACAGTAAATCAACACATGGTTGAGGGGGTCTGAGGATAATAAGCATAAACCTCTGTGACCTCTACAAACATACTGTTTCTAAACCTCAGAAAATTTATCACATTTTTTTCAATATTTTGATGGCCTCTCCTTTCCAATATGAAAAGTGCACATTGACATGGTTGTGACTTCATGAATACACCCACACATTCCAAGGTCTTGCCTTTCACCAGTGAGAGATTAAGTTTGTCTTGCTGGAGACCAAATTGTCCACACTGGACTAAACTCTGGAGGTCAACCATTTCCTCCAGCAGGAGTCTGACATTATTTACTTAATTTAAAGGCTTCACTTAAACCATTCCCCTACTTAAATGGTTGAAGCAGTGAAAATAATGTGCCCAGACACATTTGGTCCCTGATTTTACCTTTGCTTTAAGGGCAGCATTGCCCGAGTCAAACTGGAACCCTAAAATCCACATGATTAAAGCCCATACGTTTTCCCCTTTAAGAGCTGCCTGTTCTACTGTGGTCAACTGCTCACCTGTTTCGTGCCAGGCCTTTAGGAGAGCAGGTAACATTGTGCCATTGGGCATTAGACAGAAGAATCGGAATTAGCTTCTGGACGAAGCTGAGCCAAGTATACCCCAGGAAGAGTTGGTGGCCAAAAAACACTCAAAAAAAAACAATTTTTCAACAAATGGGTTCTTCTACAAAGAAAAACATCTCTACAAATATTTATTTTAAAAATCATAAAGCTATCTGACTCCAAATTAATGACAGGTGAATGATTGGCAGACTTTTTAAATGTAACCTCATTTTTAAATTGATATTTAAAAACCAGAATGAATTTCTTTTTTTTAAAGGAATAATTCTCATAGCCAGCAGGCTACAGCAGGCTGTAGAAACACTAAAATAGCTTTATTTTTGGTTTTGTAGGCTGTCCTGTGAGAAAAAAAACACCAATTTTGTAATTATTAGTGTGACTTAAAGTACTGTAGTAACAGTCAAAGGAGGAATGGTTCTAACCTGTATTTGTAAATTCACCTTAAAATTCTCCATCTTGATTTTTTTTTCTTTTCTCTTCTTCTTTCCCTTCTGTCTCTGCATGTCTCCATCTCTTATGGGCCCGCAGTTTGATCTCCCCCAATAAATTCTTTTTCTGCCTGAAAAAAAAAAAAAGACTCTCCACCTTCCATTTAATTGCTGATGTCAAGCAAAGTAATAAAGTTGACTAAAATCTGAAAGTTTTGCCCCTTATCAATATATGTTACTTTTCAAAAACGTATTGCTGGCTAGAAACATGGCTAATTGATCAACATGTTTTAAAAATTCAAGTAATTAGTTTCTATCTTTTCAATGTCCCTGCTCTATTGTACATGCCCAGAGACAGGAAGTCCTCTGCAGGTCTGCCTCCAGCTGCCAGCTAAGCCTGACTTGCAGAAGCCAAAGCTCCAATGGCATGAGGAGAGTGGAAGAGATAGAGAGGCACAGATTGACTTCTGAAAGAAGCTGCTCCAACAGGAGATGAAAACCAGTTTCCTGTGAAAATCTTCTCCTTAGATATAGTAACTGTTAAGATAGGATAAAATGGCCCCTACCTGGATCTGTGCAGAAACCCTCACCAGCATGCATGCAAACACACATTTACATACCACTCTAACAGTTTGTTAGGATTCTTTCCTTGTTGGGTCTTAAAAGGGATGTTTTGTTGGGGTTTTTTTTCTTGCTTTTATGGTAGTGCTGGGGATAGAACTTGGGGCCTCCCATTTGTTAGATATACCCTCTACCATTAAGCTGTACCACAACCCCTAGATCTCAAAATTCCTAAAACTTCAAAAACTATTTCTTTTAACAAAAATGGGGAAAAGCTAAGGTAATTAACCCTAAAATCTGGCCTCAGAGAGAAGAACAGTGCCCTGTGTGATCAGTCTACAGATTTCTGTACCTTTCTTCCACATTGAAAGCTAGCCTGGTTCTCTGTGTACTAGACTGGATTTTCCTTTCTTGGTAGGCTGTTAGTATGTCTGTTTCTGATAGCCAAAATCTATAGGCTTCTTGAGTGTCTTACTTAGCAATACGCAGCTTTTCTTAATTCTATGATTCTGTGTCTGAGCATTAGGTGTATTAGACATCTTCACAGATGTCTTTCAAATATACCAAGTAAAAAGTCTCTAAGTGCTGAACTGCTCTAGTCACAGGCAAGATTCAGTACCAGAGCCTGCTTCAAGGAGCTCATAAACCTATAATCCTAGCTACTCAAGAGGCTGAGATGGGGAAGAACTGGTTCAAAGCCAGCCCAAGCAAGAAGTTCAAGAGGCTCCCTCTCAACCAATAAAAAAGCTGGGCAAGGTGACACGTGCCTGTCATCCCATCTGTTTATAAGAAGCATAAATAGGAAGATCACAGTCCACACCCACATGGACAGAGGGTAAGACTATTTAAATGACTAAAGCACAAGGACTCAAGTGGTGGAGCACCTGTTCAGTAAGCAACGCATTCCCAAGTTCAGTTCCCAATATCACCATCAACAACAATGAGAAATATTCAAGGATAAGCCAGATAAAGGAACAGTGCTCCTCTTGGAGCTGCACTTCTCTGCATTGTTTTAGGTGGAGGGCTGAATTTGGAGAGGTCAGGTTGAGGATGGTTATAGCAAGGGTGGCTTTCAAGTAAGTTTTGTTAGATCTTGGGAGATAGCTGATTCCTCCCTTTTCCTTCGCCCCATTGTATCCTTTATACAAGGAGTTTCTCCTCAGTTGCCTAAAGCACCCACTGGAGAATGAAGTGGAAATCATTGTTATCCATGGGCAGAACCATTTTAAAACCAGTCAATAGCACTTAGACTTGGGATTGCCTTCACAACTACTTTGGGTTCATAGGGACATGTTTATGCTATATGCAAGCACCCTGCTGACCCCAAGTTTATTGGAACATCTAAATTAGTGTTTTCAAAGTCAGTGCTTTTAAAGAAGTTCAGAGAACAGAGGTTGTGTTCAGTAGGGAAATCTGATTTCCTACACAGTCTAAAAAAGCTCTTTCTCTTCTCTCTCTCTCTCTTTCTCTCTCTCTCTCATGCACAAGCACGCACGTATGCATACGCGCGTGCGCGCACACACGCACGCACACACACACACACACACACACACACACACATACACACATACTGGGGCTTGAACTCCTTAGCTCTTTCCCTCAAGGCTAGTGCTCTACCACTAATAGAGTGACAGCTCCAGTTCTGGCTTTTTGCTAGGTAGTTGGTCTTATGGACTTTTATGCTTGGGCTAACTTCAAACCACCATCCTTAGAACTCTCAGCCTCCTGAGTATTTAGAATTACAGGTATAGGCCATCACTGTCCTCAGTGCCTAACAAGCTGCCTCATTTTTTTTGTTGTTGTTGATCATGGGGCTTGAACTCTGGGCCTGGACGCTGTCCCTCAGCTCTTCAGCACAAGGCTAATAATGCTCTACCACTTGAGCCACAGCTCCACGTCTGGTTTTCTGGTGTTTTATTGGAGATAAGAGTGTCACGGAGTTTCCTGCCTGGGCTGGCTTTGAACCACGATCCTCAGATCTCAGCCTCCTGAGTAGCTAGGATTACAGGCGTGAGCATCACAGATTCATGGCACAAACTATCTTTGGAATCTAGTGGTTTCCTCCATTCTAAGATGTGTGTCATAGCCTCTATTTTAATTTGAAATCAATCTGAGCTGTGAAACATAAACAGGTCCCAGCTCCACGTACCTCAGTGCTTTCGTCCAGCCACTGTAGGTCCTGACCAGAGCCCAGCCCAGGCAAGGAGTAAGCACTAGGGTTTTCTTGAGCTATTTTCTTCAGTGGCTCTTGAGAGCTATGTCAGTCCGACTCAAATCCTCTCTGGTATTTCTTCTTTCCTCCCATCTTCATCCACAGAGGTAGGAACATGCTTCACAGTCTATCTTTATCCTCATCCCTGCTGCTTGCCAAGCACTCTGTTGTTTGTTTTGGTGTTTTCCCCACCTGTTCAGACAAAATGACATATGCACAGTGTGCCTTAAAAGAAAACAAAAAAATTGACACTTGCTTGAAATGTTTAAAGTTCAAAGTCTGTTTAGTGCTTGAACAAGGCCTAGAAACAGCATGATGTCCCAGTGACATTATTGCTACCTGCTATCAGGAATAGCCTGGTGACCCTGGGATAGATAGGACTCAAAAGCAGTCTTTTCCAGCTACTAGAACATCAGCAAAGATTGTACCAGCTACTGAAAGTGAGGCATCATGAGGGTATTGTGTCAAGGATCATGAAGAATTGAGTGTACATGTATTCTAAAATTAGATTAATTAATAATTCTGAGCCAGAATCAATAACACACACTTGTAATCTCAGACGTCAAGATGTTGAACAGGAGAATTTCACATTTGAGGCCAGTTTAGGCTACATACCAAGATCCTGTTTGTAGACAGACCAACAAAAAGACAAAGAGAGATACAACCCTATGTAAATGGATACATTGTTATAATCATTGGCTATTATGTATGAAATACCTCCTATGGACCAGTCATTGTTCATTACTACTTTGCCCACATGAATCCTTCTAATCCTCCTGGAAAGTGTAAAGTTGGAGTTGCCCCTTTCTTAGAGGTTGGAGCAGTTTTACAGAGATAATAAATGACTTTTTCTGACTGGCACCACTCTAACTGTGGGAATTGAGACTTGAATTCACACATACCTGGCTTCTTAAGGACATGTCAAACATAGACTGTCAGCCTTCCAGCCACTTCATGGATTATGATTTAAGTCTCAAAGATCCAGGAGAAAGGATCTGAAATTTCATTTGAATTTTATACCTTACATTTGTCATCTCTTCTCTGTACTCAACATTCTGATTTAATAACCATTTTAGACAAGTTTATCACCTTAACACCTAAGTACTGTTGAGTAAGAATAAAATACTTCAATTTCATTTGTTTGTTAATGCTCTGTATACTTTGAAAACATATTTAAGTCAGCATTCAGGACAGAAAAGACAGTTCCCAAGCACAAACCCTCAAGGCACAATGAAGGACTAGAGCTGTGAGAGGAAGCCCAGGCAAAGTGCAGCAAAAATTCTGATGCCTGGTTTGTACTGCCTATCAGCCACATCAAGAAGAAAGGCTGACAGTGACTATCCTGAACTAGTAGGAAACGTTCCCACCAAGGAAAGAGACAGTGATGTCTTGTTAATATTGTGAACACTAGCCATTTCATAATCATACAGTTATAATTATATAATACTAAGTATATAATCTTATTACAATTATATATTTATAATAGAACAGTTTACAAATTATATTTTAGAATTCTGAATATGTATTTATGGAATCACCATCTTTAAATGTACAATTTTTAATTTTTAAAACAAACTAATATTATCATTTGCCTGTAAAATAATGGAAAGAAACAACTTAAGCCTCTAAGTACAAAATTTTATGTGCTTTCCCTTTTGGTCTTCCAAAAACAATTCTACCTCTTTCTCTGATTGCGAACACAGCAAGAGTGACAACCTGTTTCCTGTCTTCAGTTTTGTAAGCATTTTCCATCATGCCTAATGCTCAGTTCTCATAACCACCATTTCACTGACCAGTGGAATTCTATTGAATACATGTGCCATCACTTTGTAAGTCATTTCTCTGGTTTTGGACATCTAATTATATAGTACAGATAAAGATTATAACCAATCCTAATGTCAGCTTTCAATTTAACATTCATTTCTATTAATTAAATTATCTAAGCAGATATATATGCACAAAATAAATTCCTTGAAGGCAGGAAAAACCTATTTAATGTGTGTTTGTAATTTGTGTGTGTGTGTGTGTGTGTGTGTGTGTGTGTGTGTGTGCATGTGCGTGTATGTGTATGTATGGGGGCTTGAACTCAGGGCCTTGTATTCAGTTCTTGCTTATAGCTGACTTTTACCACTTGATCCATGTTTTCAAACAAAGGAACAACCCATTTTTCAATTTCTGTTTTCCCAAAATACATTGTCACAAACATAATAAGTACGTTCTCAATAAAGTACAGAACACAGCATGCTGCTCCCTACTATTAATAACTAGAAAGCTGCTCAAGTAGATGGTCTGCAGGAAACACACAAAGTGAGAAAGCACACAAGACTATTTATCCTACCAGTGCCCAAGAAAACTTAAATTTTAAGTGTAAATAATTTAAATAGATAAAATACATCCCAGTATACTGATAAGTCATTATATGAATGGAGATTGGAGGGGGACTAGGCTGGGACAAGTCAGCTGTGCATTGAACAGGTGCCTCCAATGGCTTCTCTGACTGCTTGTATTTTTGCTGCCCTTTGTAGTTAGAGCCACAGAATCTAGATGCCTATTGCTACTGTTGTGAATAAACACGAATACTGTAAATGCACGGTCCCCATCTACAGCAGAAAGGCCCTTCTCTGTTACTGAGTGTCATTGTTGAATGCATCTGTGCGCTTACTTAAAGCCCATCTGTACCCCAGATCTACACATGTACCACGCTCCCTCTCCACAAAGTCAGGTGCTCAGGGAAGCCGGCTGGGGTACAGGAGAGAAAAGCATCTTTTTTAAACATTGGGAGTAATGTTTTTTGTTTTTCAATCAAGCCTTTGTTGCCCAAGATGGATAACCATAACTTCAAGAATCTTTCATTTTTTTATTTACTGTTTGGAATTTTCCTGTAAAAATGAAAAAATATATGAATACAGTCTTGGAATAGTTGGTATCTTTCATAGAGCTCGAATCTGTGCTATTTATGGGTTTTGCTATAAAACTCTGCAGCCCAGTCACATGGCTTCTTTTTCCTAAGCCATCTGTCATAGAGGTCTGGAATTTTATGTGACTATTGGTTGTGCAGTCTTAACCCAAGTTTTTTTAATGGAAAAAAATGTCAGCAACTACAATATTTAGCATTTTACTTTACGTTGGCCATTAAACTTGATTACTATAGCTCTGTTTCATTGCTATAGTTACATATCAGCTATAAAGCCAAAAATTGCCTTGAAGCATGACTGGCAGAACAAATTGTGAGATCATGCAGAGAGACAGCCTGTGGCACCAATAGGGTTAATATTTGGAATTTTTGTAACTAAGGTTTATTAATGCTGGTATAAAAACGTATTTGATATTATACAGATGGCATAAGATGTTGTGGTTACTATGTTATTATCCTGGATAAGCTGTACTGTCAAATTCAGGGCTTAAAACTATCACAGGAGATTAAACTATTTACTAAAAAGGGACAGAAAGATATGACCAAAGCATCTTAGTACAACATATTAGAAGTGTATTTACCTCCCACAAATGTAATGCAGCCTATCTAGCTGGTTGACTGGGAGACTGAAAATAGAACTGTGCAGGTACAACAAGCAAATAGAAGTGATACTTTTATTTTTCAATCGGGCACAGGCAGCAAGTCCAGCTAGTGCTGGCCAGAGCTCACAGGTGATTGCTGGGAAGAGAGGCATATGAAAGGGGAATTAAGATACATCACCCAGAAAGTAACTAGTTACCACAGGAGTTATGCAAACATATTTTTTAAAAAGACTTCTGCTTTGCTAACCAAAAGGAAAAAAGAAAAGAAATTGTCAAGAAGTGAATTGATGGATGATATGAAAGATATCAGAAAGGTGTTATTTGACCCAGTTGGAAAAATGGCAGGCATGTTCTTCCAGCTTTAGGGTTTTATAGAGTGGCAGTGTTCAGTGCAGGACTCTGTACAAGCAACCCACAGGGTTAGTCTTGAAGAAGATCCAGGCCACACGAGCAATTTATTAGGACTTGGGCCAAACACAGAACGAGAAACTGTTCCTTCAAAAACAGTAAATCTAAGTGTTGATGGTACACGTCTGTTATCCCAGTACCAGAACAATGCAGGAGGATCACAGGTTTAAGGCCAACCTGGGTCACGTAGCTAGACATTACCAAGAGATATAGATGGTGGGTGGGGGCGGGGGAGGAGGGGAGAGGAATCATTTGAAAATATTGGCAAAAGGTATCTCAAGGAGGAACATTGTAAGTTAACATTAATTTTAAGCCTTATACTAAACATCTGGAAAATCAACACATTTCTTCTGAAGTTCTTAATCTAAAAGCTGTATCCCAAATATGCTGCTGTCAGCTGCTGTCTTAGGCCCTAGGGTGAAATATGGTTTGTACTGTTTGCCTCTCTCTCCTCTGCCCTCCATAATTGAACAAAGCCTTTCCAGTTCACATAACCTAGGGTGAAATGTTGGTTTTGTATTAATCTAATATTCCAATAAAAATTATCTTCCAGCTGGTTGTGTTTGCATATTTCTCATGTTAGATTAATATTGTGATTTGGGGGTTGGGAAGTTATATGTGCCTTTTGAGAAGCACAAATGTTAATGCTTTAAATGATGAATTTGCAGTGATAATTCTGTAAAGTAGAAAAGAAGATTTAAAGCTAAACTTTAAAAATATATACACATATAAAACAATTTTAGGCAATACATTTAGTATTTGGAACATCTTATTTGTATTAAGCTTACTTTGTTTAAACCCAGAAACACCAAGCTCACTAATGGGCTGTTCTTAAAAGTGTACCTAAGAATTGAACATTACGCAGTACAAATCAGAAACCTAGCTTTAAAAGCAGATATACTGCCATAAAAGCTTACATTTAAAATGATCCTTTAAAAGCCCCACGTGTCTAGGCTATAATTGCAAACTGCTTAAATGTTTTTCTGTTTCCTGTTATATACCAGGGAGCCGAGATAGAAGTGGATGAAAATGGCACATTGGACTTAAGCATGAAAAAATCTCGAATCCTGGACAAGTCTGCACCTCTAACTTCCTCTAACCCTACCATTCCAACACCTTCCTCTTCCCCATTCAAGACAAGCAGCATTCTGGTCAATGCAGCATTCTATCAGGCTCTCTGTGACCAAGAGGGCTGGGACACTCCTATCAACTATAGCAAAACCCATGGGAAGACAGAGGAGGAAAAAGAGGTATTGTTTAACTATGTGATCAATAAGCTGAAGACAGAGAGCATGATTGCATCTTGGTCCTTCTGTATCTCACAGTTTTGTTTCCATGGTACATGAGTCCATATTTTGTCTTAGATTTTTGATAAAGTGATGATTTTAAATTGCAGATAAAATTTATCAGTGAACCCAACTTTTCTTGTCACTCTCCTAAAAGAATATGTAATTATAGCAAATTTTGCCCCCCCCCCAATAATGACAATTGTCTGTACTGCACAAGAAATTACAGCAGACTGTAATGGGAAAGGCATTGGTTAGCACTGGAATGCCAACTCACTGAGTCAGAAAGTTGAAGGTGAAATCTAATTAGTGATAAGTAAGAATCTTGAAATTCTGTCCAATTGGATTTTTTGTTTTGTTTTGTTTTTACTTTCATGAAGGAGCTCTGGCTCCATTCACACTCCTACTGGATGGCATGGACATGGACAGTGGAGACACAGAGGTGGTCTCAGATCCAAGGGATGAGGTTTCTTTTGGGTTTTCTTTTGTGACCACCCGACACAGAGTCTGCCAATCCACTGTCCCCACTTTGAGTGTCTGATTCTTTCTTCCCTCCCTCTCTTTTCTTCTCTCCTTTCCTCCCTCCTTTCCTTTTTTTTTTCCTTCCTTGTTTAGATAGGGATGTTCATTAATGCCGGATACCTAAGATGTTCTGATGGCAAAGTCAATGGGACATATTTGTGCATTTGGCTTCCTTAGAAGAGGTTGTGACTATAAAGGATCCCATCTAGCCTTCATCTTCATAGGCTACAGCCACTAGTCCAAGCAGGCCGTGGCTGGCTTAGTCCTATACTCCTCAGTGGCAATTAGAAGGCATGACAGCCATGGTTCATATGTAATTACAGTTGTGACTCTGATGGTGATAGTGAGTTATCTTGTTTTATTCTTTGTCAGAAAAGTTAATAGGTTTAGCAGTTGATGGGTAAGAGGCTGCTCTCTTCTAAGAGCATTTTCAACTTTTTGAAGTTCAGATACTTGAGGGAGAATTGAATCTGCGTTTTGCTTTAAAATCTCAGAGTGTGTTGACTTACATTGTAGTGACCTCCTCCTCCTTCCACACACCTTCCCTGGTATCTCTGAATCCATGAAGTGAGATTAGAAGTCTCTGGAGATGCAGTGACAAACAGGCCATGCTTCCACCATGCAGGTGCACCCTAGCATCGCATGAGCTCAGAGTTTGGCAGGGAGCCTGATCAAAAACTCTGATAAAGAAAGAATAGCATGTGCCGGGCATGGTGGTTCACACCTATAATCCCAGAATTTAGGAGGCTGAGGCAAGATAATTGTGAGTTGAAGACCAAGCTGAGATACATAGTGAGACCCTATCTCTCTCTCTCTCTCTCTCTCTCTCTCTCTCTCTCTGAAGCTTTTAGGGGACTAGTTTTTTTCAGAGTGGCTTATTTATTCAAGTCTGATAGCACAGTCTTTTTCTCTCTGTGTGTGAAAATACCATACAGAGGAGTTACAATTACATGGGCAAAGCAGGGCACCGGTGGCTCACACCTGTAATCCTAGCTACTCAGAAGGCTGAGATCTGAGAATCGCGGTTCAGAGCCAGCCCGGGAAGGAAAGTTCGTGAGACTCTTATCTCCAAAAAACCACTAGAAAACCGAAGTGGTGCTGTGGCTCTAATGGTAGAGTGCTCGCCTTGAGCTGAAGAGCACAGGGACAGCACCCAAGCCCAGAGTTCAAGCCCCATGACAAAAACAAACAAACAAACAAAACAATTACATGGGCAATATAATGAATACATTTCTTATCAAGCATTGTTGCCTCCTCCTTTGTTTCCCCTTCCCATCTCCCCCCCACACCCCTCCCACCCACCAAAGGTGTAAAGTTCATCATTCGTCATAATGACTTGTACATCTCATTGTTGCAATGGGTCCACCTGAGATAGCACAGTCTTACTGCTGTGGTTTTTAACCTGAGTAATCAGAGAAACAGAATTTAGAAGCCATGTTGGAACTTAGTACCAGTAAAAAAGACAATGAAGACTTTAGAGATCCTAAATACGTTCTTAGATCAGAATACTTGCTGTAGGTTTGAATTAAGGAAATACTTATTGTCACAGCAGTCTGCATAGGGTGACTTAGGGCTTGAAAGAGTTGTAGTTGGTAGGGATACACATAGTACTTCTGAATCATTGCAACTCCCAGTACAGCTTCTTAGACTTGATATTTGTTCCTCATCTGTGCCAAGATTACCTATGAACAGAGTATCTTTTACATTCTTTTCTGGATCTTGAAATTGACAAAATGTTGTTTTGCTAGGTATTCTTTTGAAAAACTAAATTATATACAGTGCCCTTGTTGGAAGGTATCAGACAAATATCAATACAGTAAGAATAATGATGACAGGGAATCTTTCTTTCTTCCTTGTCAATTGTGGGGCTTGAATTAGGGTGTGGGCACGTCCCTGACCTTTTTCACTCCAGGCTAAAGCTCTACCACTTTGAACCACAGGGACACTCCCAGTTTTCTGATGGTTAACAGGAGGGAGCTAAGAGTCTCAGAGACTTTCTTGCTCAGGCTGGCATTGACTGCAATTCTCAGATTGTATCCTCCTGAGTAGCTAGGATTACAAGCATGAGCCACCAGCACCAGACTGACAAGGAATCTTTGAATTGTCTTACCTCCACAGCCCAGTACAGCAGGACTATTACCATATTTTAGAGTAGAAAATTGAAAACTCAGATAGATTGAGTTGGTCCCTGACACAAAGAAATTACATCATGGCCCTAGAATACCCTGAAACAAAGACAAAAGGGAAAGTGGGAGAAGTGGAGAAAAGGAAAAGAAAAATATTCAACAAAAACTAGAGACAACATGTAGAATATTAGGAAAAGTTAAAAAGGAAAAGAAAGAAGAATAAAGCGATGACATGAGGGAAGATGGAATGGAAGTTGCCATTGTCTCAGGTCCCAAGGATGGAAGCCCAGAGTCCTCTGATACAGACGGGTATCTGTAATGTATCTCATAAAAAAGATACAGAAGTGGCTTGTTCTTGTCACTTTCTAGTGAGCTGTCCTAGAACCTGTGCCCTATAACATGGTAACTGTCTGAATACCCAGATGTGGTGTGTTCTGCTCCCACAACTGCCCTACCTCCTGCCCCTACCATATACAACACTCACATCACCAGAAATCCAGCGATTATTTCTAATTCATTGTTATCTAGCTCATATGCACAACAGTTGCTTAATTTTGGTGGTAATTTTCAGAAAATATTGTCTGTCTCTCTCAGCGAAATAGCCTGTCCAGATGCCCTCTTAAAAAAAAAAAAAAGTCCTGAATCTGGAAAAAACTCAAATTATCTCGAAAGGAAAGTACTTAGAAATAACTAGGGCTGTCAGCTTCATTCAACTGTCAGTTCTCCAAAGATTTCAGGGCTTAAAATGTTAAAAGTGCCAGATGCTATTATCTGTTATTCATGTTACCATTATGTTCTGGTCTTTACTGAAATCAGTATAAAGTTCCATCTGTACATTAAAGACTTGCACTCACACACAGATTCCCTACACACACTTGTATGCCAGTTCTCTATTACATGTCTTACACAGGAGAAAATTGTTATTTTCAAAATGATGCTTTAAGTTTGGGGAAAAGAATACAAATGCTATTGAGTTATTGTACACTGCATATTGTTTAGGAAGTCATCCAATAAGAAATGCTTTTTTTTTCATTGTACTTATCCAGAATCTCTGTTAGTGATGGCCACCTGTATTTTAACACATGTCCCTTTCCCCACAGGATTCCAGAGGTAAAACGGGGGGAGATTGGTTTATAAAACAATTGAATACACAGGAGTCTATAATTTTGAAATTTTGTTAAATGTTTCAAAGGTCATCACTCATAAAATTATGCTGTTAAAACATTACTATGTGTTATTATGCCAAATACCATATATCCTGCCAGCAATATTTTGTATACATTAAGCCAAATAATAATTTAAATGTTTATAACTGATCATTTTTTTCCAAATCCACTATTCTCTTGCCTTCCATAATATGTAGATGCAGCTATCAAATAGCAGCTGGAAATTTTTAATGCTCTCCTATAAATAAATGTACATGCCTTTTGAGACTTTGTTCTTAACTTTATCATAATGAAAATAGTGAAATAATTCTTTATGTCATACCATTTGTGTGAAAAATTCAGCTTCCAAATGGACATACAATAGTTGTTCTACACAGAGACAATGCTGGGTTTACCCCTTGCATCTACTCCCAGAAAGCTAAGATATTTGTAAATGAAAGTAGAAATTACTATCCCAATTAAACTAAGATTAACTCAAATGGAGTGAATGATGAAATGATCACATTTAGGATTATTTTTAGCCATTTGTACACTTTAAAAAATAAGTTAGCCATCTTCCCTGATGAAGTAACATTGAAATAGTTCTTTTTCCACCTAAGGATGTGAGCTTTATGAAGCACATTTCTCTTCACTTTCAGATGAAATTTTATCAGTTATTGTTGTATTTGTCAGAAAAACAATATAAGATATTTAGAATCAAATACAATATGATTCAAAAATATTATCGCTTGAGATATTTTACCAGTGTAATTACAATGGCATACTCATGTGCAATAATTGATTTAACAAGTGAAAAATTACATTTGCATTGTTAACAAGATGAATGCTTAAAACTTTTTTCATTGGGGAAATCTTGGGAATTTTTCTCTTTTAAATGGAGGCTTAGAAATGTAAAAATTATATTTGTGCTATAATTACTAAGTATATAATTTCTGTGTTTACTTAACTTAAATGAGATTTACTTCAGATAATTCCAGTTTACTTACTCTAAGCAGATCAGTAATTTAATATTTAGGATGCAGCTTTCTATATTAAATACAGAAAGTATTATACTTATTGGATAAAGGCTTAATGATGAAAGTAAAATAATTATGCAATTTAGGAAAACTATCATTAGTTATCTGTGAGATAATATATCACTTGGCAAACAAATGATTTGCAAAAATTATGTCACTTTTGTGAGTTCAAAATCAGTACTAAGCTTAAAAGAAGGCCATGAAAGTTACAAGAATTCAATAAGAAATTCTGTCTTAGAAATAACTGCATTACAAGAAAACAACTTAGCAAAACAGAAAGCAAAATCAGGAAGTGACAGGAAAATTAGAACAATTATTCAGGAAGTAGAGGTGTGGCTTAAGCAGTAGAGCACCAGCCTTGAGTAGAGAATTGTACTTATAAACTGATATGTTGAATAATAACTCCTTCGTACAACTACTTAAACATAATAAAAATATTTAAAAAATGAGCACGAGGCTCTAAGTTCAAGTCCCAGTACTGACATTCACACACAAAAAAAGAGAGAATACTTATCCAAAAAAATGAAATTGAAAAAAATGAAATTGAATGCCTAATTACAGCAGTCTTTATCACATATTTAAACAAATAATTTAGATGTTAATTACTCATACATTGGAATGAGCCTTCTGTTAACCAACATTTACTTCCTCTTCTGTTTAAAACTGTATGATTCATTTTTGCAATATTCCTTTTATTTTACTGCTGTGACTGCTGGCTGGCACAGAACTATTTCTCTGTTGTCTAGAAAGTATTTATTGTATGATAGAACTTGAAACATGCTGATATACTAACTTAATTACATAGTTTGAGAAATATCTCAGCTAGGCACTCACGCCTGTAATCCTAGCTACTCAGGAGACTGAGATCTGAGGACTGCAACTCAAAGCCCCGCTAGGTAGGAAGGCCCATGAGACTTATCTGCAATAAATCACGCAGAAAAGCCAGAGGTGGCTCAAGTAGTAGAGGGCTAGTCTTGAGGAAAAGAAGCTTGAGGACACTGCCCAGGCCCAGAGTTCAAGCCCCAAAGACCAGAAAAAAATTTTTTTTTTAGAATTCAGTTTACTAAGATATAAACTCTTTAGAGGTATTCCCCCTTTAATTTCAATTTCTCATTCTTGCCATAGGATAAAGGTGCATAACAGTTAGAATGAAGAGCATGACAAAGGGGGAAAAAAAAACCTTTTTAGTGTCTTATTTCTTTTTTCAAATCTTTTATGGTATTTCAGCTAAATCTTTATGTTAAGACCCAAACCTATCTCCAGTGACTTAAAAATGCAGTGGTCTATTCAGGACACCCTAATGGCTTCTGTTTTTCTCTCTCCTGCTTTTATTTTGCCTTGTTTGTTTTTATTTTTGGTTGATATGATTCTGGTTTTCATTTGAATTATTTTGCTTTGTTTTCTGTTTTGTATGTTATCAGAAAGACCCAGTGAACTCTCTAGAAAATTTAGAGGAAAAAAAATTTCCTGGAGAGGCCTCTATACCAAGCCCTAAACCCAAACTTCATGCAAGAGATCTCAAAAAAGAACTCATCACGTAAGTAGTGTCCAGTGCATGTTCTATAAGATTCTGGAAGTGAGAGTACCAAGTTCACAATTTGGGGTTGTACTGTCCTGGCTTATAAAAATGACTTTATGGCCATTTTAGCACTCTATTAACTATCAGTAGTTAAATGCAGGAAGCAAGACCCTATCTTAAAATAACAAGCAGCTGGCTGCTGGTGGCTCACACCTGTAATCCTGGCTAGTCAGGAGGCTGAGATCTGAGGATCGCGGTTCAAAGCCAGCTGGGGCAGGAAAATCTGTGAGACTCATCTCCAATAAACCACCAGAAAACCAGAGGTGGTGCTGTGGCTGAGGTGGTAAAGCACTAGCCTTGAGCTGAAGAGCTGAGGGACAATGCCCAGGCCCAGAGTTCAAGCCCCGCGACAGACAAAATAAAAAATAAAAAAATAAAAATAACAAGCAAAAATCAGGGCCAAAAGCACTTTCAGCAATAAAATTACCTGTTTAGCAATCACAAATACAAAGTTCAAACCAGAGTACCTCTGAAAGCACTTTTGTAGCCTGCCATGTTGATGCTTACCTATAATCCCCACTACACTAAAGGCTAGAGGAAGGATTATCACCAGTTTGAGTCCAGCCCTGGAGGAAAGCTGGTTGAGCATGGTATAAGTAATAGAGCACACACCTAAAATGTGAGGCATTCCACTCAATTGCAAGTACTACATAAATAAAAAAATAAAAACCTCTTCTAAATAACTTCCCTATAGCCTAGCTCTACTTTTTTTCGTAAACTCAAGGAAGTTGTTGATAGTGTGCGACTTGGGTGCTACCAAACACCAGAATATACATTTTCCCAGTGTTTATTTCTAAGAAGCCACTTTGGTGAGCCAGGCCCTTTTTTCCATGTGGACTTGCTATTCAAACTTGCTACTTAGACTTTTTTATTTACAGACTTCCTTTCCATATGATAGTTTTTAACATCTTAAAAATTGCCAATTTCTATTAGAACTTGCCCAAAGCTAGTGCAACTAAATTGGTGTAACAGATGGGTTAACTATATTTTGTGTGTGTTGGGGCAGGTGGAGGTGGGGGGGGGGGGGGGGAGTGGTCCTTGAGCTTGATCTCAAGAGTGCCTCAGTGCTGTCCCTGAGCTTTTTTGCTTAAGGCTAGTGTTCTGTCATTTGAGCCACAGCTCCCCACTTTCAGGGTTTTATTAGGTAGTTACTTGTAAATAAGAGTCTCAAGGACTTCCTGTCCAGGCTGGCTTCAAACCACAGTTCACAAATCTCAGCCTCTTGAGTAGCTTGGATTGTAAGTATAAGCCACCAGCTCCTGGCTTGGTCAACTGTGTTTAATCAGAAAAGTCAAGTATAAAATAAAATAATAAAAAAATTAAAAAAGAAGAAAAGTCAAGTATGATTACTTGGTTAAGGAGACTACTCTTGAGTACAAAGGTAAACAAAAATCAAAAGCTTTCAAAGACCTTGAACACTTAGTGTATTTGTTTCATAAAGTCTTACTGTAGTCTTTGTTATATTTCATTTATTGTTTCTGACACATGATTGTACCTTAATTGCTTACCAAAAGTTGGTCAGGATAGAATGAATTCGTTTTGTCTGCTGTTCCCCCCTGTGCATAGCATTTGAGTACCCTTTACTGAGAGAATTTACTACTTTCATTCCCTTGCAAACCTTGCCAATATAACCATTGGTATTGACACATAGTGATCTGTAAGGGTTTTTTTTTCATTGTGGTTTTGAAAATAAAACTGGCTCTCAGAAACCTAAACAGAAGCTCTTTTCACTACAGAGTTCCCAATAAATCTTCCTTTCTTTGCTTCTGACCCTTTCATACCACTAATTTAAAAAAATTATCAACTGAATTATTTGCTATTTTATTTCACTTACCATTTATAGATAAGTGGCTTTAAAAGCATTGTAATTTCTTTTCATCTTTGGGTAAGGTTAACTGGAGTCATTAAAAATAGAAGTAAAATAAAATAAATGCAGTACTTTGGGAACAGCAGGTGGCGATGTGTTTCCGGAGTGGGAATTCCCAACCGGTTCTGTTGTACAATGTTCAGGATAATTCAGCTCAGATATAATCACTGTTACTTTTTCTTTACTTTTAAAAAATATGTTTTAGTGTCTATACTTCCTTTTCTAGTATTTTACCCAGGAGTTTTTAAAGGGAAGACTAGATGACCCAGTTTAGATCAAACCCTGAAAAACAAATATCCCTTTATGGACTCTAACTTACAGTTTCTTTAAATTGCCTGAAAATGAATGCAAAGTGACTTACTAGTGGGAAAAAAAAACTTAGAAAATTGCAATTCTGAAAGTATTGGAATATTTTATCCTAAATGTCTCTTGAAAAGGTTAAAATCTATTCTCTACACATACAGATGACCCTTACCATGGACAAGATATCTGAGGCAATCAGAGGAGGAAATGATACAACTGATTCTCCCTTTTTCTTGACAGCACCACAAACAGTGCTGAGTATGCCGAAATCAATGTGCTTACTCCAAATAAGCAACTTGCCACTAGTTTCAAAAAAATTAAATGACTAAAACACTAGGGCACCTCTGATTGTGAAAGGAAAATTAATGCCTACCTTCTTAACTTCTTAACTTGTTTGTATGACACTGTGTGTGTGTGTGTGTGTGTGTGTGTGTGTGTGTGTGTGTGTGTGTGTGCTGGTTCTGGGGCTTGAGTTCAGGTCCTGGATGGTGTCTTTGAGCTTTGTTGCTCTACTATATGAGCCACAGCCCTAGATTTTTGGTGGTTAATTGGAGATAAAAGTCCCACAGACTTTCCTGCCATGGCTGGCTTTGAACCACACACCTCCTATCTCAGCCTACTAAGTAGGTAGGATTACAGGCATGAGATACCAGTGCCTGGAGTCTTGTCATGGATTTTTTTTTGTCAGTTGTGGGGCCTGAACTCTGGGCCTGGGTGTTGTCCCTCAGCAATTTAACTCAAGGCTAGCACTTTACCACTTGAGCCACAGCACCACTTCCAGATTTTTTTTTCTACTTTACTTGGTGCTGAAGAATCAAACCCAGGGCCTCTGCATGCAAGGCAAGTACTCTACCACTGAGCCACCTTCCCAGCCCTTGCATTTTTTTTAATTCATGGGAAGCCCAGGACATATGAGAAATTCATAAAGTAAAATGGAGTATAGACAAAGATGTGGTATGGGAGTCTGTTCCTAGGTGGGTTGAGTTAGGGATGGCCTTTGTTAGTTTGCAGCTTGAGTGAGACTGCCCCTGAGCTTTACCAACTAAATACACTTCTACCAATTTCTGCACTGCCAGCTATTTTTCCACCTAAAAATATGTTTATATTTCAGTAAAATGTGTGCTCTCTCTGTTTCTCTCTCTCTTTTTCTCTTTCTCTTTCCCTCTCTCTCTCTCTCTCTCTCTCTGTCTCTATCTCTGTCTCTGTCTTTCTGTCTCTCTGTCTCTCTGTCTCTCTGTCTCTCTCTTTGGTTGTGGGGCTTGAACTCTGGGTCTGGGTGCTGTCCCTCAGCTCTTCAGCTCAAGGCAAGTGCTCTGCCACTTCAGCCACAGCACCGCTTCCGATTTTCTGGTGGTTTATTCGAAATAAGAATCTCTGGGACTTTCCTGCCCGGGCTGGCTTTGAACCTTGATCCTCAGATCTCAGCCTCCTCAGTAGCTAGGATTACAGACGTGAGCCACCAGCACCGGGCTATTCTCTTTTTGTCAGTGATTTCTGAAATATTCATTAAGTTACTAGGTTGCCTTGGTCTTAAGAGCTTACAAATATTTCTTTCTAGAATATATAATTGGTAGCAATATTTCTAAGATTTACTGTCACAATAAAGTATGAATTTATAATTTTTAAATAAATTTCTCTCAAAAGATAGAATGTCACTAATTGCTGAGTTATAACACTAGGACATACATAGTTGGATCACTTTCCTGTTTCTAATCATTTGTACTAGAGAATTGTTGACTTTGGAAAGAAATAACTGAGGAAAGGAACTCAGCATGCTGTTTATTCTCTTGTACTAGTATACTGGTTCTTTGGCTTTTGCCAAAGTAAAAGTTGAATGCTCTGGCGTCTGCATGCCCCATACAGTGCTAACTTATCTGGAAAGGAGAACTGCTTATAAGCTATTGGGCAGAACACATACATCTGCAAAATGCACTTGGCCCTAATGGTTTATATTTCTGTTGTCCTAGTTGTCCAACACCAGGGTGCGATGGCAGTGGCCATGTCACAGGGAACTATGCATCTCACCGAAGGTACTTAACCACCTGTTTGCTCTGTCATATATATTTATTTTCTAGACTATTTATTAATAAATAAATTTATTCTAGAACCAGAAAAAACAGTGAATTAGTTAGGTTTGGAAGTTATCCTGTATTTTAGCTATAAAATTATATTAGGCTTTCGTCCTGCCTAGCGTTAACTGAAGATGATAATGTAACTAGAGTAGACCAGTTATCCAGAGGCAGTGGCACCTGTGTTCCTGGGAAAATAACAGGTCAAGTTATAGAGAGATGAAACAGTGCAAAAGTCCATGTTGAATCTCTCAGGTGACCTTCCTGTTGGTATGATTTGCTTTCTCTTTGGACACTAGTTTAAGCCTTTAAACCATCATCCTGGTAATGAACTCTAAGGGTAATCATCATATCATTGAATTCTGGAACTAGAGAGTCTCCTTGGATTAAAGTTCTTCACTAGATAAATAGCACATCTGAGCTTACAAGAAAGAATCAGAGTGCTTATGAGTTCATTCTTGTTAGTAGCAAAACAACATTCAAACTCAGCCATTTTTTTATAATCCCCAATCACCAGTAGTTTAATATATGTCACAAACTTAGGGTGCTCTCTGAGTTAAATATGTCCACATTAATATATCTGTTTTTCTTTCTCTTCCCTCGTTAGTGTCTCTGGATGTCCTTTAGCAGATAAGACGCTTAAGTCCCTAATGGCTGCCAATTCTCAGGAGCTAAAGTAAGTGTTGAAGACATACCTCTCTCCTTACCATTCATCCAGCCTGGTATGGCCCTCCTCCACCAAGGAAAAGTGATTGTACCTATCAAATTGTAACAAGGCACTCTTTTTTTCACAGATGAAACTAAGCCACTATAGCTTTCTTGGCTATGAACTTTGTATTTTATAATATTTTTAAAGAAATGATGAAATTATGAAACAAATCTTTCTTTTGTTAATTTCAGAATTTATTTACTAAATCGGACTTAGGAAGTGTGACAAAGCATTTCCATCATGAATTTTAAGATACATGGATAATATTTTACCCTGCAGCATTTAAAATCTTACTTGCTTTTCACTTTTGGATGTTAAACATAGATTTGGCTCATTCTTACCTTGTTTACAAGATCTCAAAATCATATGTATATTGACATCTACTTCTTGATTTTATTTTCCTTACTCTTGTCTTCTTTAATTCCAGTTTTCTCATTTGCTTGTTTTCATCTTTTTATATTACATACACAGTAAAAATGTTACATTATATACACAAATAAAAATTGATGATCCATATACCTTTCAATATGTACCAATATAAAAAATTTGGAGTCTTAGTACCAGAAACAATAAAGAGAACTAGGAGTAGACACTGTACAAAGTGTCATGTACAACTTCTAGAAACATTATTCACAGTTATCTTTTGATTGTTGCTTTTCTCCAGCAGAATTCTTGTTTGGGTGGAACTATGTGTAAAATAATGAGTGAAGATAAAGCACTTCACATGAAGGCCATCTTGGGGATGACCTCTCTGTGTTCACCTGTATTGAGTACTTTTTTATGGCAACAAAGAAATTGAAATCTATATAAATTTAGATATCCCAGTATATTTTGAACTTTATTCTTAAACAGCATTCTAAGTAGAAATGGCTTTCTCTTCCTCTTCCGCTGCTTGTACCCCAAGTTTAATGATTGTCAATAATATAATTCTGAGGCATGACTGAGTACACATTAGTTAAGTTCTCTGGTATTAGAATTAATTAATGCCCTTAAGTCTCTGAAGTTCACCTATCTAAAATTAATGGATTATCATGTCTGGACACAGCATAACAAGGAAAAATAATTATTCATAAAAATAATCTGGAAAAATTTTCCTTTTTACACTAAAGGTAAAAAGTTTGTGTGACATAGACAGAAGCCAAGCAATAGGTTGAGGACTGTCCAGTTCCTTTCAATGTAAGATTAAAACTAACAAAAAATGAGTAGATAATAAATTCTCTACCAATTACTATTCAATCTTTTAAAAATGATTCTTAACCAAAAGTTAGGCATATTTAAGGGAAGGGTCCTGTCCAAAGTTTCCACTGTGTTTCACTGTTTGATCATGGCATGATGGTCCTCTCTCCCCTGACCTTGCCCACACGCTGTCCTCTTGTTTTCCAGATGTCCAACCCCAGGTTGTGATGGTTCTGGACATGTGACTGGAAACTATGCTTCCCACAGAAGGTAGGATTGATCCCACTTTTGAAATGGGAGCCAAGGAGTCTGCATCAGAACCAATAAGATCACATGGTTTTGTGTTGTTTATTGTTGATTATACATTTTAGCTTGTCTGGCTGCCCACGAGCAAGGAAAGGCGGCGTCAAAATGACTCCTACCAAGGAAGAAAAAGAGGACCCAGAGCTTAAGTAAGTGCAACAGTTGAAGCACTAAGGTGAGCTTTATCTTATTAGACAAATGAGAGGAGCCTTGGTTGGGATACAGTAAAGCCTCCAGAGTCAGGAGAGGGTAAACCAGTGAACACTGGCACTCCTGACAGTCCTGAAGCAATGGCAGACTGATTACCTGGGGAAGTGACCCAACCCTGCCCGCAAGCTGTAGGCCCTGAATTAATTCTGGAAAGAGACAGAGACAGACACAGGCAGACAGAATTCCCATTCATAGCTGTGTTCCTGCATTTCTTTGATGATGAAAAAATAAAAAGGGGTGGTTGTGAGAGTTCTCCTTTTCCTAATTGTTTTAAAGGAAAGTAGTACTATAAAAGTGACATTTTTCTCTGAGATGTTAAATGTTGCACAAAGTTAAGCTATCTATACTGAATTTCCTCCTCTAAGAAATGGCTGTGGAGTCCTAGATGATAGGTACAGTATACATACAGAAATATAGTTTTTTCTATACCATTTCTAAATACAATAGTACCTAAACTTTGCAAACTAAAATTCTAGTACCATGTGCTGTGTAGTATTGATTGAGGCAGTTAACATTGTATACCCTTGGACTTTCTCCAGAAATGATATGATTTTAGTGATTAAGTATAGCTGAAAAGTGTAACCATGAACATGGTTTTCTTTGCTTTTTTATTAAATATATTTTTATTGTAAAGATACTATACAGAGGGGTTACAGTTACATGAGCAAGGTAATGAGTCCATTCCCTATCACTCCTTTGTTCCTTTGCTTCTTATAAAATGAGTGTGCTTAAAATATGAGTAGGTAAGTCAGCTCAGTTCTTATTAGAAGCCTCATTTTTACCACTTACATAATTGGATAATAACATTCTCTATTCAGTAGGTTTGCAGTGCTATCTTACAAAGTAATAGCCAGGCAGTTGTGGTTTATACTTATAATCCTAGCTACTCAGGAGGCTGAGATCTGAGGATTATATGGTTCAAAGCCAACTGGTATAGGAAAGTCTATGAGACTCTTTATCTCCAGTTAACCATCAAAAAGCCAGAAGTGAAACATGGCTCAAATGGAAGAGCTCCAGCCTTGAGCAAAAAAAGCTGAGAACAGCACCCAGGCCTTGAGTTCAAGGCCTATTAGTAGCACACACACGAACACACACACACACACACACACACACACACACACACACACCAACAAACAAACAAAAAAACTTAAATACTGCTCAGCTCAAAGCCTGTGAACCATTATTACTACAAATACAATACCATTTTGCTTGTTGTGGTAGCATCTTTTAAAACTCTACAGTTTCATGGCTTGCCCTGGGTAGCACAACACTGTTACTGCTTCTCTTCATCTGGTAATGTTTCTGCTGTGTCTCTGTAGATGCCCTGTAGTAGGATGTGATGGCCAAGGTCACATATCAGGTAAATACACGTCACATCGAACAGCTTCCGGCTGTCCTCTGGCTGCCAAGAGACAGAAAGAGAATCCTCTCAATGGGACCCCTCTGTCCTGGAAACTGAACAAACAAGAATTACCCCATTGTCCCTTGCCTGGCTGCAATGGGCTAGGACATGTAAATAATGTTTTTGTCACCCACAGAAGGTAATGTTTATTTTCCATCTTCTTGTCTTGATGTGATTGTCACTGGAGTTGATCTGGGGAGGGGGTAAACCCTCCTAAATGTCATTAATTATATCATTTTGGTCTCATAACACTGAGTTTGCTAAATAGATATTTAACTACTCTGAAGAACAGAAATGTTATTTTCTCTAGTTCTGAAAACTCACTGCACAATTTTCAAGTGCTCTAGAAACTGTGCATTTGCTTTTTGTATTCTAAAATACTGCTTATGCTGCTATTTTTAAATGGTTCAGTCTTTTAATGGTTCACTTCAGTTCCAAGTGGTGATATCTACTCTATTATGTTACATAATTGTAAAGTTTCACTTTACATATTTATATCATTCCCTCCCTCTCATGCCTTGGCTCAGCTTCCGGCCAAAATTGTAGCTATTTTGCTGCTGGGAAGCTGTGACTCGCCCACAGCAGCCAGAAAGAAAGAAGATGGCATAGAACTGTGAGGTGCAGAGCAGGATGAAGGGAGGTTTAGAAAACCCTTTTACAGCTTCACACTGACTTAATTCTTTTATCACTGAGTGTCATGGATTTCAACCAAATCCTTCACTGGGCAAGAGTGATCTCAGTCCAGCTTTCTGGTTCATATTCTACCTAAAAGGAAAAAGCTATAAGATTCATGATGAGTACACTTCTTGTCCTGTCAGTGATGGGAATGATGCTGATTCAAAACCCAGTGCAGTTTTAAGGAACCTCTGATGATTTGTTTGAGAGCCGTGTACAGATTGAGCAAAGTTGGAACATCTTGATGCTTTGTTGAGTACTAAGGATGCAGATCAACCATTTCAGAAAATAAAGTGTTCCGGGAATTGCTTGTTTCCAGGTTACCAGTGAGGTCTGCTTATGGAGAAAATGCGAATGTTGCAGGTGGCTTATGTTCTGATGGCTTTCAAACTCAGGTCCATGTCCACCACAGGCACCTTTGTTTGATTCATATTCCCCAAAAACAGTCACAAATCAAGTGTGCCATGAATTATAAACCGTGTTACCTGCAGTTTGTCTTTAAGAAGGCAAATAAAAATAAAATTTAACATTGCCTTGATATGTGTTTATTAAGTTTCATATCAACAACATGCTTGGTTCTACATTATGTAATTGTGGAACACAATTTATGACTATAAAAATGAATTTATTTGTATTCAAGTAATTATACAAAAGAGTTTCTATTCAAAATGTCAGTTTACATTGAATCATAATTCTTGTACACATAAGTTGGCATATTAAGTAACTTTTTTGTGGTACTGGGGTTTGAGCTCAGAGTAAGTAGGTAACTCAAATTAAGCAGGTATTCTACTATGTGAGCTATATCACCAGCCCTTCCTTACTTCCTTCCTCCTTCCTTCCTTCCTTCCTTCCTTCCTTCCTTCCTTCCTTCCTTCCTTCCTTCCTTCTTCTAATAAGCTCTCTTGTTTTGCCCAAGGCCAGCCTTAGAGTGTGATCCTCCTACTTGATCTTCCATGTAGCAGGGATCACACGTGTATGTCACCACACTTAGCTTGTTGGTTGAAGTTTCACTTTTGTCCTGGCTAGATGTGAACCACAATCTTTCTGATCTCTACCTCCTGTGATTATAGGCATGAGCTACCATACTTAGCCATCATCAACTTGGAAAATTACAAGTTTCTAAACAAATAGATCCTTAGAAAGGTCAGAAAGGCTCTAATGAAATGTTACAAACAGACATATTCCAGAGTCATTGTAAAATCCAGTTTACCAACTAAATATTTATCCCATTCATGACCACTGTCTGGGAGCCCATGCGACCATAAGTCTAGATACACCTGTGCAGAATCCTCAGGAAGAGAACCAATCACAGTGAGGCTCATCTTGTCCATGAAGGATAGTGAAAAGCTTCCAAACTACAGGCTCAAGTGTGAGCTTAGTGTGCACAGCCTCCTTGTTTTCTTTTCTGTTCAAAACTTCTCATCAAATTTGGCCACACAGCTTTATCTTTTCATAGTATTACCAACTATTATCCATTACTATTATGTTTATACTATTTCCATATTTCATAGAATTTTAGCATTGAACAATTTGCTATTCTTTAAGAGAAATGTAATAACTCATATTTATTTATTAAGGTCTTTCCTCCAGAAATACTTTCTTCCACTTTTCACAGCACCACAAACCTCAGGTTGAAAGGATTGTTTTGTAGATGAATTAGAACCGCATTTCTGTGGAGAAAAATATTTTAAGTGGCTGGTTATGATCATTTTTATTATGATCTAAAAATGTTTGTACAAAGATACAACAAAACTGCATGAGAATTAATAGCTGCTTGGAAGAACAGAATTATCTGCACACAAACAATGGAAACTCAATTTTGATCAGTGTTGGAATTATCATATTGGTGTAATTTAAATAAAGCAGGTGACCTTAGGGGAAGGAAGGCTGCTGAAGAGGGTGGCTATTCAATGAGCAGAGTTCCCAACAGTGCCAGAACAATGGGCCCTTGCCATGGCCACTTCTCAATACACTCACAGCGGCTCCTTTTATTCTCCTGTTCAAGGGAGAGAGTTGTAAAATGAAGAAGTAACATTTTCACATTCAAATTAAAAAACAGAAACTTCTCCATAACCAGACTGAGTATTATTTAGGGAAAGTGGGAGTTGTTCTTGACTTTTGTTAATCACTTGACTTATTCTGTAAATCTCAGACCATACTTAGTTAAAAACAGGAAAAACTAGAATCTCTTTCATTTTTCATGGAATTTTGACCAGTTAGAAACAGGTTTCATTCATAATATGCATGGATAATTTCATGTTGATAGAAAAAAAAAACTAGTTCCAGGCATCATTAGCTCACACCTGTAATCCTAGCTATACAAGAAGCTGAAATCTGAGGATCAAGGTTAGAAACCAATTAACTAACTACCCAAAATCCAGAAATGGGTTAGAAGTAGAGTTATAACTTGAATGGTAGAGTACCAGCCCCAGTTCTAGTACAGGGTAGAAAGACTAAATAGAAAAATAAATCAAACACAACAAAGGAAGCGAGCAGTGGATCCGCAGAACACAAAACATTTTCAACCACCTGAAGACCTTACGGTCTTGATTTAATAGATAATTTTGGTTGCTTTCTACAAAGAGACGATAAAATGTGAAAATTAGTGGTCAGGCAAAAGCATCAATAGTAGATAGTGAATTTTTTTAATTTTTATAAGAAACAAGCATATTTCACACATTAGCATAAAATTGTTTTCACAGCTTATCTGGATGTCCTCTCAATGCACAAGCTATCAAAAAGGGCAAAGTCTCTGAAGAACTCATGACCATCAAGCTCAAAGCCACCGGCGGTAAGTCACTGTCCACTGAGAGCAGATGGCCCCTAGGGTTCTGTCTATGCTGTGTGCCCCATGTGATTTTAATATTGTGGAAGAAAGGTTTTCTCAGATTTGAGCTAATACTATACCTTTACCTGAGAAACAATCTCTTGACATCTCCCATCTTTGTAATAAGGATTTTAGCACAGACAGGCAGGAAATGTTGTATGTTTCTGGTATTACAATGAGTGTGTGTGTGTGTGTGTGTGTGTGTGTGTGTGTGTGTGTGTGTGTGTGTGTGTGTGTGTGTGTGTTCCCAGTATGAATCCTGCACCAAATTGTAGGAAGCACAACTATATTTAAATCTTTAAATATTGTTCTATACTCAGTGTTTTCCGGTGACCCCAGGTCACCAACCTTTATAGCTACATTTTCATTTCCCTACACATTTTCCTAGTGTCAAAGGGAGATACAGCATTCTGAGTTCTATTTTGGCACCCTCTCCTTGGCTCTGTCTGTAGTTCTTCAGTGCTTTTCTAAATTTATGGCGGCAATATCTCAGGCCTGTATTGTGTCTTATCTGAGATCTCTCTGAGGCATCTGAGAAATGGGGGCAAAGCAACTATCATGCCTGGGAGAGTTTATTGGATGGTTAGGGCTGAGCCACAGTCTTTTCTTTCCTTGTGTGGTAGGCATATGTTCTGCCACTGGGTTTCCCCAGTCCAGACTGAGGACTTTTCCTTGCTGTCACTTTACCTCTCTGACAGTCTAGCTCCTACCTTTTAATGTGACCAAGTTGAGAAAGAGGAGAGAAGAGAGCCCACAGGAGTTTCTCACTGATCCCCCCCTCGCCCCCACCCAGGAAGCCCCCACCTACTTTTCCTTTAACCACCTCAGGGAGCCCCTCCCCCTCTCTGAGTGTCAAAGGCTAAAACTGCAGGAGGGCATCTACCACTGGAGGAGAAATGAGTTCCCTGGATTTTAATCGGGGACAGGCCTGGGACCTCCTCTCTCTACACCCAGAGCTCTGTGAAGGAGCTTTCTCAGGTTGTTGACTGTTGCTCAGATACACTCCTCATTCCTCAAACACCTCAGGACCTCTTAAATGAAATTGGGATGATTTAATGTGCACTTATTTGTATATCACTTTAATTCCAACAGTATGTAATAAGTATTGAGTACAAAGCTGTACAGAAGAAGGGAAAACCAAAGATTAGAAATCAAGAGAGAGCAAGCCTGAGAAAGCAAGACAAATGCCCCAGGCTGTTTCACACTCCACAATAGCTCACATCTAACCCTGCTTTTAGAAGCCACAGCAAAGGAGAATGTAATTACTTGGAGACTCACAGTGTTGTGAGTACATTAGATCACATAGCTGTGAACTGAGCTCATGAAGAAAATACTTTTCTGTGCATTCCCAGTATAGAATACAAGCAACACCTATTACCAAAATATGGTGCACAGAGCTGCTGATAGTATGGATAAAAGCAAAATACAAGCTAGGACATTCCACCAAATTATGATGGAGCCATAAAAACAGAAAAATGCAAATGAACTTGTAAACAGATTCTTAGTCCACAATGTTAAATTAAGTTAGATGTGAATCAGTCCCACAGCTATCTGAGTTCATGTTTTGAATTAATATTACTTACCAACCAGTCCACACTGATAAGTCTATACCAAAAAATGTTTACATTTATTATACAAGAATTGATCTTCAAGCTGGGTGCTGGTGGCTCATGCCTATAATTCTAGCTACTCAGGAGACTGAGATCTGAGGATCATGGTTCAAAGCCAGCCCAGGCAGGAAAAGTCCGTGAGACCAATAAACCACTCAGAAAATGGGAAGTAGCACTGTGGCTCAAGTGGTAGAGCACTAGCCTTGAGCTGAAAAGCTGAGGGACAGCGCCCAGACCCAGAGTTCAAGCCCCACGACCGACAAAAAAAAAAATAGAAGAAGAAGAATTGATCTTCAGTTCTCCAACTTTGTCATAATTAAATTGCCATACTGATTTCCTTAAAAACTACTATTAGTACATGGTAATGAAAGTGGTCCAATTTACATTAATTCATTATCCCTTAAACAAAAAGGTAAAATATAAACCAAATATAAATACTCACCCAGGGAATATAGTTAGGCTTATAAATATAAGTACTTGAGAGGCAGAAATTAGGAAGAGTGAGTAGAGACCATCCCAGACAAAAACTTCTCAAGGCTCTATCTCAGATAATGACTGGCATGGTAGCTCATGCCTGACATCCCAGCCACTCAGGAGAGTACAAATAGGATAAGGATCACTGTCTCAAAAATAACCAGTACAAAAGAGGGCTGGGTCAGTCAGTAAAGCCCTTGCCTAGCAAGCACAAGGCAAAATAAGTAAACAAAGGAATTTGATTGAAATAAAATAGAATTCTTAGAAAAAGCACTTGTAAAAAGCACTTGTAAGTTGAATATACTTGTTATAAATCAGTATTTTGATAGTTGTATGGAATGCCAGGAATATGGAATATCAAGAAAATATAAATGACATAATCACTAAGTATACAAAGCAGGCACAGATTCATACTAAGTAAAATTAGAATTGTTAAATGAAACAAAAGTAAAGCTTTTTGAATACACAGATTTATAGAAAACAAAGCCAGGATTGAAAGTTAATTGCATAATGAAGGGGAAGCCTGCACGACTTCCTTGATCAGCAGTGGTGCACAACTAGCAAACAGTCTACCCCCAGGTATGTCTACAGCACAACACTGCACAGTTTCCAAAACACAGTGTTTCCAAAACACATCAAGTATGGGAGTAAAAGTTACCTTACAGTCACCTCCTTCAACTCTTAAGACCACAGGGGTTGCCTTAAAAGTTGTAGGTAGCACGGAGTTCTATGTATACCATATTCCCTATAAACACCACCTGTGATAAAGACTAATGTATCAGTTAGGCAAAGGAGGAGAATAACCACAACAAAACAGTTGTTGTTGTAAACAAGGTGCTTCAATAAATGAATGTTACTTGAAACATATAAAGTTTCCACTTAATTGTTCAGGCCGTAGTTCAGTTAACTGCAACCGCAGGGAACTGAAATCTACCAAAGCAAAACCATGACTGAGTGAGGAAGCACTGTGTAATGGTTAAAGAAGCATAATTCTGAATAACCAGCTCTACTGCTTTCCTTATACCTTGATTGTGTCATCAGGATTTCACCTCATGGATCCAGTAAGTTACTATTTGGAAACAGAGTGAAATAAAAAATCAGAGCCTTCCCTTATCCACTTCCAGTGGTAAAAGGAAGGCTCCACTAGGAGCAATTTAGACTGTGTGTTTGTGGAAATAGATAAGGTGATGTATTAGCTAGAGTGCTGGGTTCAATTCCTCAGTACCACATAAACAGAAAAAGCCGGAAGTGGCGCTGTGGCTCAAATGGTAGAGTGCTAGCCTTGAGCAAAAGATGCTCATATGTGTGTGTGTGTGTATACATATATATGTACATACATATATATACACACATATATATGAAGAGAGTAACTGAACTTGATCCTATACCCAAAATATCCCTTAAATGTTCATAAAACATTGGTCCCCTTGTTGATGGATTTCATGAAAGTTTATATAAGCCTGTAATGTAATAGCCTGTAATGGTGTTTCTTTTGATCCTGTCCTTTGATTGCTACTTCAAGGCACCTTTTGGTAATATACCGCTTTCAAATGGCACTATTTTACGTGGGCATGGTTAGTCAGATTTCCATTGCTATATATAACAAAATGCCTGAGATAATCAATTCATGAAGAGTAAAGTTGGGGTTTTTTGGCTTATAGATTTGGACTATATGGTATAGACAGTTCCATCTATGATGTTGCTCCCACAAAGAAAGTCCTAACTATGCAACTCGTGGGTGGAGATGAAAGGGAGGGATTGGGAGAAAATGAAGGAAGAGAAAATATTGTACGAAAGGAAATGTACACATCACCTGACTCATATAAGTACAATCCCTCTGTACATCACCCCTGTAATAATAAGTTAATAAAATTAAAAAGTCCTAAAATACCACCTGCTCCAGCAAAACAGTCTCCCTTCCTTTTCTCTTCCCCTACTCCAGGCCTCCACAAGCCTTGCAGATTCTTTCTACAGATTTTATTTTGAGTTCATCTTCTTCTCTTAACCCTAAACTCCCTTGCCGATGGAAAAGGGTTATAAGACACAGTCACAATTTCAGACCGACCTTGTAGCTTCTACTCTCTCTCCTCAATCCCCTCTCTACTAAAGTGGAAACCTACTTAGATTTTTGAAAGTCAGCCAGATCACACCAACTGCCCTTCTTAAAATCTGTACATACTACCTATGGTAAAGTTCCATTTGTAAGTTAAGTTCTCCATAATAAATAAAGCCCACTGGTAGCTTCCCTGTGTCCTGCCCACCTCTGTTCCCTTACCAATACCTGTGTTTTTCCTACTTCCATCACCTGGGACATTCATCTTGCCTCTCCTCATTCTCCCAGCTCCTTTTTAGCTTTAGTGTCTCAGAGTGGGTATCTTCTGCAGTGAAGGTCCTCACAGCACCCTGCCTGTTTCCTCCAGAGAGCTTCATAGTTACAGGAGCTTTTTTATTTGCTTCACCAGATATTATATAGGAAATACAATCCTGAGGTGGAATTGTAATCACAGAAGGAAAAAAAAAGCAATGTCAAAAAAATACAATAGAAATTCTCATTTGCTCAGATCAGAATAAAAGGCATTAAATGCAGTAGCACTCCAAATACCCATTTCATTAGATCCAAATATTTCAAACCTTTGTTCCCTTGTCTGAGACAAGATTGCTCTTGCAGAACATCAGCTAGTAGTACTCGGTGCTCAGGAATCCTCTAGATTTCTCTAACTACATCTGGCCATTGAGGAGAAAAGCAGTCCCATGTCTGGTATACTACAGCTCCCTTACCCATTAGTGTGGTTCTGTATATCTATTTGCTCTTCTTGGCTGGTCAAACCATTGTCTCACATTCAGATTGGTCTATCTTGGTTTTTAGCTGTTGGCTTATGTTCCTTTTATAATGACTCCCAGAACCCAGAGTGAGATTACTCTTGTGATATCTTCTCTTCATTGGTCCATGCATGGCCCACTATTATTTAGGCAGTTACCGTGTGTGTGTGTGTGTGTGTGTGTGTGTGTGTGTGTGTGTGTGTGTGTGTGTGTGTGTGTGTGTGTGTGTGTGTGTGTGTGTGTGTGCTGGTCCTGAGTTTGAACTCAGGGCCTGACACTGTTCCTGAGTTTCTGTTGCTCAATGCTAGCACTCTACCAATTGAGCCACAGCTCTACTTCTGGCTTTTCAGCAATTTAATGGTAATAAGAGTCTCAGACTTTCCTGCCCAGTCTGTATTAGAACTGTAATCCTCAGGTCTCAGCTTCCTGAGTAGCTAGGATTTGCTTCCTGAGTAGCTAGGATTATAGACAGGAGCCACCAGTGCCTGGCTTAAGCAGTTACCTTTTTTTTTTCTGGTCGTGGGGCATGAATTCTAGGCCTGGGTACTGTCCCTCAGCTCTTCAGCTCAAGGCAAGTGTTCTACCACTTGAGCCACAGTGCCATTTCTGGTTTTCTGGTGGTTAATTAAAGATAAATCTCATGGACTTTCCTGCCTGATCGCTTAGAACTGCCATCCTCAGATTTTAGCCTCCTGAGTAGCTAGGATTACAGGTATGAGCCACCAGCGCCCAGCTTAGGCAGTTACTTCTTAGAAAAACAGTAATTGGGCTGGGAAGTTGGAGCAGTGGTAGAGTGCTTGATTCGCATGCATGAGACCCTGGGTTCGATTCCCCAACACCACATAAGCAGAAAAAAGCCGGAAGTGGCTCTGTGGCTCAAGTGGTAGAGTGCTAGCCTTGAGCTGAAGAGCTGAGGGACAGCACCCAGGCCCAGAGTTTAGTACCCACAATCTCCCCCCACACACACAAAAACTCCAGTAAGTACCTACAGAATAGCCATGTTGTAAGTGAATCTTGAGGACATAAATTTTTCCTTCTTTATATATATTTTCTTAAGAGTCACCTATGTTGTTTGGAGGGGCAGATGTGGCTTGTTTCCAGTTTGGTCCTTTGTAAATGGTATCTCTATGTATGTCTTGTGCATGACTCCTATTGTATGTATTCACCTATCTGTCTTATGTGTGTATTTAGGAATGAACTGATGGGTCATAGAAAATGTGAGCATTCATTTACTCTCAGTAGTTGTCTTGCTCCATTTTCTGTTAGTATTACAAAATCCTCAAAACTGGGTATTTTATGAGGAATAGAAGCTGATTTGTCTCATAGTCCTGAGATTTGGAAGTCCAAGAATTTGTCACTGGTAATCTGCTTATTACCTTGAGGAGGAAACATGGCACCTGCTCAGTAATGTCGTGGAATGCATCTCATGGTTAGACAGAGCAGGAGTACAGGCTCATCTCTCTTCTTATAAAACTGCAAATGCAATCTGGGGGCCTCCACCTTCATCACCCCATCTAATGCAATGTCATCAGGGAGGATCTTGTTTAGTCCAAATTATGTTCCAAAAGTCACACCTCCAAATATCATTAAATGTGACTTTGAAACTTTAGTATCCAACACATTTGAATTGTAATGCCAGGATGTGGACTTTTTTCCAAAGTAGACATCCCCAGAAAGTATAAAAAATAGACTTTGTTCAAAATAATTGTCAAGCCAAATCTCCCTCAATCTTAGTCTCCTGAAATCGATCTTTTTATAACGCACATACTAAAATGTCCGGTGGGTTTTTTTTCCCCCTCTTTGGATAGCTTAGACTCATTCTCCTGCACTGTTCTGTTTCTCATATTGTGAGTACCTTTTCCAGCTTCTTCAAATGTTGAAAATGTCTTCATATGCTCTTTACAAAAAAACTTTTTTGAGATCCTGCCATGGGTTCCATACTGTGCCCTTCAACTGCATTCACTGCGACAGCACAGGTATAGTCTCCTGTTCAGGAGAGAACACTGAAGCCTTGAAGAATCTTGATAAGGTGCCCAAATTCAAGAGCACTGTCAAGGCTATGTTCTTTCTTATAACTTCCATGTGCTTCTCACCCAAATCCACTTAGAGAGCCCTATTGTGTGTCTCTGCCCGCGGTGTGCCTGCAGCCCGGTCTCTTGGCACAGTGATAAGATACCTACTTGCTGTGTGTCCGTCATGTCTTCACTGTTCCCGTAGGAGGTATATAAGAGAACACACAGGCTTTGCAGTTTACATCCAGCTTGCTCTCTAACTTGGAACTTAAACAGGTTATTTAACCTGCACCTGTCTCAGCCCAGTGTCCTTACATGTGAAGCAGTGTACTGAGATTTGCCCAGTGGGTGCAGGGCTGTAAGTGTGCCTAGCAGATTCATGTTAATGTAGCTGAGCCATTTCAAACACTGGTGCTTTCCTACTCCCTCTTTTCTTATAAAGAATTAAATCTGGTACTCTTTTCACTTACTTTTTCTGAATTCTGCATATGTGTGGTTTGGGTAAAAAAAAAAAACACTTCGAACTGAAGTCTCACAAGTTAAATATAAAGCGAGTCACAGTTGTCCCTGTCTCATGTATTCAGCATCAACTAAGACTGTCGACTCTCCACAGGTATAGAAGGTGATGAAGAAATCAGGCATTTGGATGAAGAAATAAAGGAATTAAATGAATCCAACCTTAAAATCGAAGCAGATATGATGAAACTTCAAACTCAGGTAAATACACACAAAGTTCGTTTTTAAATAATCAGTTTTTAGTAGAAACAAAACACTAAACTTTCTAAGCCTTGCATATGAAAGCATCCTGATGTCTTGAAACACACCAGCATTTCTCTGTTATACTATGTGTGTAAACTCTGAGTTGGAGCGTCACCATCCGGGGCATCACTGGGTGGGCAGCTCTAGGCAGAGCTGATCTCATTTCTGCCCTGCCTGCATGGAAGCCTTCCTAAACAAATAAAGCAGATTGGCCTACAGAGCATGTAGAAAGAATTCCATTAAGAAAATTAACAGTGCTTAGTCTTTTTTTTTTTTTTGTGGATCGTGGGGCTTGAACTCTGGGCTTGGGCGCTGTCTTTGCACTCTTCAGCTCAAGGCAAGCGCTCTACCGCTTGAGCCACAACACCAATTCCAGTTTTCTGAATGGTTTATTGGAGATAAGAGTCTCATGGACTTTCCTGCCTGGGCTGGCTTTGAACTGCGATGCTCAGATCTCAGCCTCCTGAGCAGCTAGATTACAGGCGTGAGCCACCGGCGCTTGGCTCAGTGCTTAGTCTTATTCAAAACTTAAATAAATCACTTTTTAATTTCTCTAGAACACTTCTTCCTGTGTCCATATGTAACAGTAACAAATCTTACTGAACAATTTCTTATACAAGATTTTTTGGTATGTGTACTGGAGATTAAACTCTGGGCCTAGATCTCTTGCTTAGCTTTTTTGCTCAAGGCTGATGTTCTTCCACTTTATCCACACCTCCACATTTTTCTTGTAGAAATTGTTATCCAAATAAAAATTAAGCAATTTCCCAATGCAACATTATCCAGAATGCCTTTGCCATCCCTAACTAAATTTATACAAGTGAAATCAGGTTCAGTCCAGGCCAGGGATACGGCTCAGGGGTTATACACCTGCAAGTGTGAGACCCTGAGTTTGTACCCAGTGTTGCCATAATTTAAAAATGAAATAAAATTGCTCCACAATTTTGAAAATACTAATAAAAACTATTGCAACAAATCAGAAGGAAAAGAAAAAGAGAAAGCAAAACATGGAGGGTCCTTTCCTTCCTTCTCTCCTATCCCTCCCTCCCCCCTCTTCCTGTTCTCCCCTCTCCTAAATGATAAAGCTTTAGTCCATCGCTGTCTTAGCAGTCTTGGGCAGCAGTAGATAGTCAGGTTCCTGCAAATGAGGGAGCTGGGCCAGGGGCATGCCACAGGGGAAGGGGACCAGAGGTGTCCAGGATCATTCACACATGGGACTTCTTAACCCATGTTAATGACCACGACCTTGGATTTAATTGTCAAAAAGTACGGAATCATGGTGTGGATTTGAGTTCAGGAATTACACCAGATTTCCTTACATTTGAAGAGATTCTTTCAGTCAGCCACGCTGAGGGAAGACAGCCAAGACCTAGGGGGCAAAGGTAGCACTACCCCCTGCAGGAAGGAGGTACAGCAGGTGGTTCCATCATGTAAAATTTAAAGGAGGTTTCTAGTGGATTTGAAGTGTGAGAGCAAAGAGAGGCAGGGCAACCTTGAAGTCTTAAGCATTATTCAGGCTCTATAGTTGTGAAGGAGCTGCTGTGGTGGAGAGGATTGTAGGAATTAGCAAATTCCCTGTGTGGCACCATGATCCAGGATAGCCAAATACAGATAGCCTTTGGTCCTGCAATTCACAGAGAAGTCTGGGCAAAGATACAAACCCAAATGGGACACCAAGACACAGTATGATACTCAGGGTTGCAAATTGGGCAGATAAATGTCGGTGTCTGCATCCGTTGTTTATATTCATGAATTTTCCTCAGAGACCTTTTGTGTGCCTCAACCTCTACTTACAGTCCCAAGTTATTTCCACTTCAGATCACCTCTATGGAGAGCAACTTGAAGACGATTGAAGAGGAGAACAAACTCATCGAGCAGAACAACGAGAGTTTGCTGAAGGAGCTGGCGGGGCTGAGCCAGGCTCTCATTTCAAGTCTCGCTGACATCCAGCTGCCACAGATGGTAAGTCAGGGCCCAAAACTTTGCTGCCAACATCAAAAGTGTACCATCATCGTGCCATTACCTAGAGGGCGGCAAGGTAGCAGGACATGCCTGTAAGACCCGCCAAGAGCCACAACCACTCAGCTTCAGCCCATTCTCACCTAAAGTGACTCCCTAGCTGGGAACATGGTAGATACATGCATTTAAATTCTATGAAAGCCAAGAATAGGCAGGCAGGGAGGCAGGCAAGCAGACAGACTGACATACAGACAGACAGGCAGGCAGACAGACAGACAGATAGACAGACAGGCAGGCAGGCAGACAGACAGACTGACATACAGACTGACATACAGACAGACAGACTGACAGACAGACAGACAGACAGACAGGCAGGCAGACAGACAGACAGGCAGGCAGACAGACAGACAGATAGACAGACAGACAGGCAGGCAGGCAGACAGACAGACTGACAGACAGACAGACAGACAGGCAGGCAGACAGGCAGGCAGACAGATAGACTGACAGACAGACTGACAGACAGACAGACAGGCAGGCCAGGCAGGCAGACAGACAGATAGACTGACAGACAGACTGACAGACAGACAGGCAGGCAGACAGATAATAAGCAGTACTGGGGTTTGAATTTAGGACACTCTACCACTTGGGACTTAAGCCACACCCTCAGCTTTTTTCTTCTTCAGTTATTTTCAGATAGGGCCTCAAGATTTTTTCTAGGCCAGCCTCCATCAGGAAGACTTGATCTTCCTACCCGTACCTCCCACATAGCTGAGATTACAAGTGTGCTACCACTGTGCTTGGTTTATGTGTTGAGACTGGGGTCTTGCTAATAACATTTCCCCAAGTATCCTGCACATCACCATATTCTGGATCTCTACCTTCTAAGCAGCTGGGATGATAGGCAGGAGAAAGCACACCTGGCCTTCGCCAGGTAGAATCTTAAAAACTGGAGTCATTAAAAAGTCAAGGTTTATTTGAAGCTGGTTTTATATGAAGGGCGACTGTATTACAAAATTCTCACTGGAAAGGTATTTCTAAGTACAGGATTTTATGGCTTCTAAACATGAGAGTTGGTCATCTACCCAACTCAAGATCTATTCTTTTAATTCCCAGTAAATTCTCTATAATATTGTTTATCTCATCTAGAATAAAAAGCACAAAAGTGTGCAGGGCATCTTTATTTCCAAAACCTTAACATGTAATTTAGGTTTGCAGCTTTTTAGAAGGTTTAAAACTTGTTTCTTTTGCATTTTCATGAGTGTGGATAACTCTTTAGAGAAGGGGTTACACCAACAAGTACTACTTCTCCTCCGGACTTCTTCATTTGTACAGCCAAGCTGCCAGGTGTGTGGGAAAATGCCTTCAAGAAGCAGAATTGTAAATAAATAAATATAAATTAAAATAACATGTGGGAGTGTGCTTGTCATCCACGCTGTGTGAGTAGTGTAAATAGGAAGACCGAAGTCCACGATGGCCTGGGCCTAAGTGTTAGAGTCTGGTTTGCAAGGTACCCAGAAGGCTGAGATCTGAGCATTGCTGTTTGAAGGCAGAAACATCTGTAACTTTCTAATCTCCAGTTAACCAACAAAAACTAGAAGCATCAGCTCGAGGCAGGGGGCTCTAATTCCGGCACCAAACAAAGAAAAACAAGAAGAAAAGGAAAAGCAGCAGCAGCATAAACAAATGCTGCTAACTTTGCTTTGAACAATGAATCTCTCGAGTTCCCCAACTTCCTAGCACAAAGCCTTATTTTACTTCTTCCAAATGTGTTTTTTGACAAAAAGTCAATAATATAAAAATGACACAAAAGAAAATTAATGCTTGCTTTATAGCTTGAATTAAGGTAACTTGATTAGGATTGTAATATTTCTATCAACGTTTGTCTAAGTCTACTTCAAATGTGCATTCCTTACTGTTTTTTTCCTCACTGGGGTACAAAGCGATAGAGACGTGGACAGTTACACTTTGAAGCCCTCTCATGGTAACTTTCAAGGCACAGAGCAAAAACTGTTCTCTGAGCACCAGAGATGAGCAGCAACATCCTGTTCTCCAGTGGGGGAACCCAGGGCTTACTCCCCTCACTGGATCTCCATTCCAGACCTAGTACAGTCAGGCAAACCCTGACTGTGGCCTTTACCCACTCTGCCACCCAGAACCCTGTCCAGTTACATGAGTGTCCAAGAACTAGATGGCACAGTAAAGGCAAAAACTAAAAACAAAGGGAAAATCATAATTGGACAATGCTATTAATCTTAAGACTTGGAAACCTTGTTTTTTAAGTAGCAACAATGATAACTATATCCTATGTACCTGATGTAGTTAGATTGCTTTTAAAGTCCTTTCATCCCAACACTTTGTAAGAGAAGTAAGGATATGTCATAGGTTTTCCAGGAGGTGGGAAATTAGAGACACCAGCAGTGACTGGTTACATGTGTTTTGTGTCAAGCATTGCCTATAACACATGCCCACATGTTTTTTTGTATATATCTGGGGTTACTTTCTTTAAAGTATCACTTTAGGCAGAGGAAGCGCCTAAATGGCAAATATGTGAGCAAATCTTGACCTTGTAAAGCTCATATTCTATCTGAAGAGATGTAAAATTAAAACCAACACTGCAAGCTCTGTGCTGGTAGCTCACAGCTATGATTCTAGCTGCTCAGCAGGCTGAGGTTTGAAGATTGAAGTTTGAAGCCAGCCTGGGTAGGAAAGTCTGTGAGACCCTCATCTCCAATTAACCACAAAAAAAGCTAGAAGTGAAGGTAAGGCTCAAATGCTAGAGCGCTTTCCTTGAGTGGCAAAAGCTAACAGACAGCACCCTGCCCCTGAGTTCAAGCCCCAGTTCCATCATAAATAAATAAATACATGCATTCATACACTGCAGTGATGTTACAGAAGAAAAAGGGACAGTAAATGTCTGAGGAGATAGCAGAATAACCCTGCACTACAATGGTTTAGTGAGCAATTTGCCCACATCTTAAGTTCTTTCAGTCCCAACCCCATACTGTTAAAGGAACCTCTCAGCAGGGCAAAGTTTCCTCCCAAGGCTACAAACTGATCATCTCCAGGCAGACCTTCTTTTGAGCCCAGCATGTGTAACGGAGGCCCAAGACTCCCCCTAAGAGAACGTACAGTTGGGTGAGGTCTACGCAACCTGGTATGTCTCCAGATTGGCCCTGGGACTGCACAATCAAGTGTGATTCATCCTGTGAATTAATAGTGGCCAGATGAATTCCAGCACACTCAAATTTCATTCTTCATCTCTCCAAACTCCTGCAGCAGTGTGAACCCAAGCCTTCCCCCCCACACTCCTGTCACAGTCCTGCTTTTCCTTGTCACCTGATTCTTGAACAGTTGTGATTGCTTTTAATGTTTTTTGTCTCCATTTAGGGACCTATCAGTGAGCAGAATTTTGAAGCATATGTAAATACGCTCACAGACATGTACAGCAATCTGGAACGGGACTATTCCCCGGAATGCAAAGCTCTTCTGGAAAGTATCAAGCAGGCAGTGAAGGGTATCCATGTGTAGGACCACCACACTGTGGGCAAGCGAAATTCTAACCACAGTGAACTCCACGTGGTGTGCAAGGGGCTCACTACTGCCAAGCATGGAGTTGTCCTCCTGCATTTCCAGCTGCAACATTGCACTAATTTCCCCCCAGCTGACATAAAAAGGAAAGAAAAACTATGATAAACTCTTTGGATTAAAAGCAATGCAGTCAATTATTAGATCTTATTTATTTTCATATGTTTTTCTTTTATTTCTTCATTGCACTCTTTCTTTTGTAAAGTATATGTAAAAATAAATGTGACATTTTTATATTTTATTTATTACTAATCAAAGAGTTTTTTATCTTTTAACTGCATTTTGAAGTCTGCCATATTTTTACAAGTGTGTTAATTTATTTTCTAATAGGACCTAAATAGAAATGCTATTGTCAAATCTCCTATATTGCTGGGTTTAAATGAGAAACAAGTGTGTGAAGGAAATCCTGTGTAAGGACTGCACTATGGTCGTTTCGTTTTTATTGCACACTTCTTTTTCCCCTTCCCTTGGTTTTGTATTTACAAATGAATTTGTGGTCAGGTGAGCTGCGGAAGGACGTGAAGACAATTAGCGCCCTCTAGTGGGGACATCGCACTCACAAGAGCGCAAGACCTAGAAAACAGCCTGCTCAGAATTTGTTAGCAATAATTAAACCTAGCAACCAGCGAAGTATTCAACTTGGCTGTACAGTTTTAGTTAACATGAAATATTTATCTGAAGTGTTTTAAAGAAACATAAGCTTTTTGTGATGCAGATTTGTTGGTTTGTTTTTCAAGTCATATCAGATAGTTGGAAACTCTCATCCCAAGATGAGAAAGAAGTTGATGTGGACCAGCCAGGCTTTCCTGCCATATGTTGGTACAATATACAAGTGACATTATTGGTGTAGATTTGTACTTAGAAAATACAAACATCCAAATGTAAATTTTTTTGATACCATATCCCCTGAAATAGCATTTATCTTACTGGGTTAACTGGAAAGAAATGGAAAATAGAGTCACAAATGAGAAAACTCTATTCCAATCTAAGTGAATGTGTTCAACACGGGTAACACTGGTGGCTTTCTCCTTGGGAATACTACACCACTCAATTTGATTTTTTCAAAAAAGCTTGCCATTGAACTGCAAGGGGTACACAAAGTCCACATATATGAATGAATACACATCCAGTTGAACCTTCCATTTGAATTTCTGAATGGATCTGAGCTTAGTTGTTACTGTAGTCAAGGCAATGACTATTTCAGGGATTGTAAAGTAGTGAAGCATTGTTTGAAAAGTTTTTTTATATTTATTTTTATTAAGGAAAAGGTATAGACAACCAGCTAAACTGCCTTTGTGGTGAGCACACACATTTCCATGTGCAGACGTGCCTCAGTGTAAATGTACACATGAACCTGGTATAGGCTTAGTGTTCTGTGCTATAACAAAGTGTTTATTTTTGATTAGCCTCATGGATATTTGATTGAATGTGATGGCACTCCCAGGCTTGAAGTATTCCGCTGTTCTTACTGCTAACTGCACAAGCACCCACAGAGTACTTCCCACAGTGATCCCTCCCGTGAACCCGTGCCACTGTTAGGCATTATATGAGGCTTATCCTTGGTTTGGGGTTCATTTGAACTCTTAACTCTTAGTTTAGTGAAAATGAGATGTCTGTTCTTAGGTAGGAACGGTGTTTATTTAAAAATCAATTTAAAAGAAAAGGCTACCATATGTGCTGTCTACTATTAGTGGGACACCAAACAAAATTTTCTATTAAAGTTATGTACTTGCGAACATTTTTGCTATACAGTACATCATAGATGCATACAAATGAGTTCACCTATTGCAAAGATGGAAGTTTAATTTGATAAATATTTTAACAAGTTTGTTATATATTTTATTTAATTTTAAAAGAAATCTCTTACCCACCTATGTATTTATTACATTATTTACAATGACTTCAGGTTAATTTATTTGTGTTGGCATAGTTTGAGTGAAATGTTGTGTGAACTATGTTTGTATTTATTTGCTTTGTATTTGATGTGTTTTGTAATGTGCACTGAAGGTTATTTTTTCTTTTCAACTATGTTAATGATTGATACTGTAAATTGGGTCTTTTGTAAACAAAAAACAATGATGTATGCATTTTTTTAATTTGAAGTAGTTTGTTTGTATACTGTTTCTCCAAACAATTAATATTTCTTACATCAAAGCAACAAAATTGTGATCAGTGCTGTACATTTGGTGTATGGTAGGAAATAAACATTGATAATGAGTTTTGCTGTGATCTTTCTGAAGCTATGACTTACGAGGCTGGGCTCACCATCCCATAGAACCGACAGTTCTGGAAGTGGCCCTGACAAGGTGGAGCACCCTTAAGCCTCTTGTAGTTCTGGTGCATTTTTGTTTCCATAGTTAGATTATTTTCTCATCTGAAGTGGAGAAGGTAGAGTGGGCTTTGGGCCAATTAATGACTTGTCATACCTTGGTATAGTGTCCACCTTCCACACAAGGAATGTCACCCAGCAATACTGAGCATCAGAGGAAACCCCACCTCCATTCCCAGTTAGGCCCTGAGTAGATCTCAGTATGGACAGCTGTCTGTACAGCTACTTGAATGCTTGAAAGAATAATCAGGGGGACTTCTAGGCATGTAAACTTGTTCATCTACTCTGGAAAGTAGTATGGAGGTTCTTTAAAAGACTAAACTTAGAGCTTCCCTATAACCCAATTATTCCATTCTTGGGCATTTGCCCAATGAACCACAAACCAAGCCACACTAAAGCCACCAGCACAACCATGTTTATTGCAGCATTGTTTACCATAGCCAAAGTATATATATTTATATGCATATATATATGCATTCTACTCATCCATCAGAAAGAATGATATTGTAGCATATTTAAGGAGAGACTTGGAAAAAAATATATTAAGTGAAGTAAGCCAGAGTCAAAAGAAACATAGGCTGCATGGTGTCCCTCATTTGTGGTAACTAGAATGAGCTTACAAATCTTCAAGTAAACACACTGAATGACTAAAATAAATAACACTGGGACATGATAAATTATATAGGAATCTACTCATTAATATACAGAGGCCAAAGGAGGCTATGCATAGGAGTGGAGGACAAAGGCTCAATAGCTATGTACAAATGATGATATAAAATATTCTATGAAATGCACTCCAAGAAAAGGAAACAAGATACTCTTTTGTTGCCATTGTTGTTTTGTCTTTTCCTCTTGTATTGTTTGTTACTTTGTATTTTGGAGGGCACATAAAAGGTGGAACAAGGATGAACAAACGCAGCAGTGATACTCACTAGACACTATTTGGAAAATGAACTGGATATCCTTTTCTCATTGTAAAGATACTGTACAGAGGGGTTAGAGTTACATGAGTAAAGCAATGAGTACATTTCTTGTTGAACATTGTTACCCCCTCCTTTGTTGTTCTCCTACCACCCCTTCCCTCTCTCACTCCTTCCCCAGACCTTCCCCACTCCCCCCACCCATCCCCCAGACATAGAAACAACATGTCTTTTTTTTTTTTTTTTTTTGGTTTTGACCTTGTTGTGGCCAATGTACTGTATCTAGTTCTTTCTTCTTATTTTATGTCATTTTTCTTTTTCCATTGGTTTATCCCTGGCAATCACTGTCTTTGATTCTGACACCCTCTGCTTTGTATATACATTTATATGATTTGGGGGAGGGAAGAGGGATAACAAAATACCAAAAGAAGGACAAAGGATGACCCATTGCAACAACAATACTCACAAGACACTATGTTGGAAATGAACTGGCTATCTTATAGGTGGGGGCAGGAGGAAAAGACTAGGAGACAGCAATGAAAGGGGAGACATGATTCAAAAGAACTGTACTCTATACTCATTTCCTGATTCATGTAACCGTAACCCTACAGGATATCAACTCTACAGGAACAATTTTAAAAACTTTTGCAAAAAAAAAAAAAAAAAGTAATCAGGGCCAGCAGATTCTTCCCAATGATGATTATGTTGGGGGTTTTCTTTGCTAATGTCAAATTGCTTGTTTTTTATTTTTTTCCAGTTTCTACTCAGACTTACCCATTTCTTATATATAATATGGTAAAAATCCATGTAATCTAAGTAGTGAAGTCAAATTGTCTGGGTCCCCAGAGGAAAGCCAGGGTTGAACAGGTTGTCTAATTGGGGTTCATTTGTAACAGTTAATGCACAATATGCCTTCTGATAGCCTTTGAGTTATTTGCACATGTCGGCATAATACATAATACAGCCTGGGAAGATGAGGATGAGATGCCCCGTGGCTCAGCCAGGTCCCTGGTTTTTCCTTCACTGAGTGTTTTACAGCTTACATGCACTGGAATTGAGTGTCAGTGACAGTGCAATTGTGTCACCAATTTGTCCTGAGAGTACCAGTCCTACTGGAAATAAAGGAAAGGGACTCTTCTTTGGGGCCCCTCTCTTCTGAGAGTCTCACTACATTCTTTCATGGCTTCCTTTTCACTCTCAAATAAACTTGTTTTTTAAAAAAGAGGAAAGATTAGGAAGAAACATCCAGCCACACAAGCAACATCATGGAATCAGAGCATGGTGAGGCTCAGCTCTCTGCCTGACTCCACACATGTTCAGAGGGCAGGTGGCTTAAGTGACAGGCAGTGCCCTGGATCATCCTGGGTCCCTGTGGAAGTGTTACCTGATGAGCTTCAATTTCTGGGGAAATGTAGGGGATCCAGACTAGTTGGGACAGTTTGAGAAAAAAGCACTGCAAGAAGCAACAACTACATGTGCAGAGGCACATCGGTGAGACAAACATCAAAGCAGCAGCTGAATGTGTTTTAGACAGCAAAAGCTTGGTGAGAAAAGCTGGGCACTCTTGGCTCACGCCTGTAATCCTAGCTACTCAGGAGGCTGAGATCTGAGGATCTCGGTTCAAAGCCAACCCAGGCAAGAAAGTCTGTGAGACTCTTATCTCCAATAAACCACTTGAAAACCAGAAGTGGCGCTGTGGCTCAAGCAGTAGAGTGCTCTTCTTGAGCTGAAGAGTGCAGGGACAGCACCCAGGCCCAGAGTTCAAGCCCCACGACCGACCAAAAAAAAAAAAAGATTGGTGAGAAATGAGAAAACAGAAGAATCAGAAGCCCAGAGGAGGCCAGGAGGCAGGAGA